AAAATTCTATTTTAAATTCCCATTTTAAAAATCAATTTTAACTTTTAATTTGAAAATTCATTTTCTAATTTCAATTTTAAAACTCAACTTTCAATTTTAAAATTTACTTTTTACTTTCAATATTAAAATTCACTTTTTAATTTCAATTTCAAGTTTAAATTGAATTAAAAAAATTTTAACCATTAGTACAGAATAACATTAAAAATTTTAACCATATTTGAGAATAAAATAAAAAATTTCAAACATTTTTAAAAATAAAATTCTGGTGGAATATTTTTCAAAAAAGAAACAAAACTTATTTTGAAATTTAGAGTAAAATTTTTTTTTTACTGAAAATGCAACTTTGAACTAAAAAATGTTATTAATTGAAAATTATAAAAATTAAAAAAATAGAATAACACTGAATAAAATTTGACAGAATTTTTGGAGTAAAAAAACATAATGTTTCTTAATTACAATATTTTATAACATTAAATTTGTACCAGCTAATTTTTAAATTAAAAGTAGGAACAAAAGTAAGCGTTATTTTTTAAAAAACTTAAACAATATTTTTAAAATGTAAATAAAAATCAAACTTTTCTCGACTAAAATTTAAAAAAAAAAATTTATTTTAAATGTAATTTAAAAATTTTTTTTGATTAAAATTTTTAAAATAAAAAAATTTTTTATATGTACTTTAAATAAAGAAATAATTAATTAATAAATCAATAATAAAATGTAGCAGTAAAAGAAGTTTGTAATTTAAAGTTTCTTAAATTTATTTTCAAAATTGAAATAAATAATTAAATAAATAAAATATTTAATTGGAAATGAATTTCAATTTGTAATATAATTTACATTCTAATATAATTTTATCCTCTTCCCTTTTAAAATAAAGTGTTCTGTCATTTTTTTCACTGAAAAAGAAAACACACGAAAATAAACAAAAAGATATATTTAATTTTACTCTCAATTAATAATCGAAATTCCCATAAACAATTTCAATTTTGTAAAATTTTCCACGCGACGAACACGTGTTTAGCGCTTTATTTTCAAAAGCAATAGTAAAGAAAAGAAGAGCATGCAGAGAGAGAAAAACTCACCTCGTAAGAAACACAATAGAAGAAGAAACGTAAAGAAATGTTGATAGTGTAGAAATCTTAATGTAACCCTTCTCGTCAGCATTGTTTTCTTTTTACATTTATTTTTTGCACCTAAACAATCCCGATTTTTTTTTTACCGACAAAAAGTATGGAAGTTCAAGTAAACAATTATATGTAACATTTATACAATTCTAAACAAATTTCCCACATAATAAAAAAGAGAAGGAGGGGGGGGGGGGGCAAAAAATATTTTATATATACAAATTTTCGTATTAAAAAGAAAATTCTTTGTTTACAATTATTTTCAAAAGAAAAATTATTTTTTATAATTATTTATTTATTAACTATTTTTGAATTTTTTTTTTGTTGGTATTTTATGACAATTGAGATGAAATGGGGGGTAAGTTACGTGGATGAAGTCTCGGTATCAACTACCGCGCGCGTTCGCGCTTTCAACCCTCCTCATGTTGGAATAACCCCCTCCTTTTCGCTAGTACACTATCAACCCTCCTTCCACCCCCCCAACAACTGAACTGAACTGAAACTCGCCGGTGACTGTTTTCTGCTAATTTGTGTGTCTTTCTCTCCCTCTATATATATGTATATATAATCCCTGCGTGTCTGATAAACTTCAGTTTTCAAACAATTAATTAATATTCATATTCTATATATCGTGATTTGTAGTGGGGAGCTTATAGAAAATTTTTTTTCTTTACAATTGAATACGCGAATATTATTATTAACAGATATTATTGTACTCAAAATTTCTATACACAAAATTGCTGTTTGGGATTTGTGATATATATACATATATAGATATAAAATCCATTTTAAATCATACAGGTCATTGAATACCGAGGGCAAAAATTGGAATTTCACGGACGAAATAAAAAGCGCGTTTTAAATATATAATTCTATTTTTGTACAATTTCACTTTTTTATTCTTTTTCCAAACTTTCATCTGCGAGCAATTTTTTTTTTCTTTTTTTTTTTAAATTTAAATTAAGAATAGTGAAATGTAAATTATATTTGATAGTAAGCAGCGAAACGGGAAACAGAAAAGATTAATCCTAATTAAATTCAAATCCCAATTAGTATAAATTTACATTAATTTGATTCAATCGCTAATATACTAATTCATTAAAAAAAAAAATGCGATCAAAAAGCGTTGGCGAACAGAGTGTCTACTATTTTCGTTCAACAAAATTCCCGGTTATTTCCCGATTTTTTCTCGACTTTGTCCTAATTTTTCCCGATTTTTTTCTCATCAAATTTAAATTTGTTTGATGTTGAACATAAATAAATCTAAAAATGTCTTCCAAAATTTTTATTCGAGTTTATATGAATAATTAAATTCTGTTGGTAAGTTTCTTTAAATTTTTTAAAAATGTTTTTAAATAATATTAATGGAAAATTTGGAAAATAATTGAATTAAACAAAGAATTTTTTCAATTTTTTTTAACTAATCTTGTCTGTTCATAATTATAATTGAAAATCTGATTTTTTTAATTTTATTAAAATTATATTGATAATAATTGAATTTCTGCAAAGAATTTTACTATTTATAAAAGTACATTGAATCCTTCAAAAGAATTTTATTATTTATAAAAATAATTAAATGTTTACTTAGAATTTTATTAAAATTTTTGAAAATAATTGAATTGTGGAGAAAAATTCAATTATTTATAAAGATGATTGGAATTTTGAGGAGAATTTAAAAAAAATTTTAAACATAATTGAATTTTTGCAAAGAATTTTATTACTTTTGAAAATAATTGAATTGTTTTTTTTAGAATTTTATGAAAATTTATGAAAATAATTTAATTCTTGTAAAGAATTTTTTTAAAAATAATATTCAAAAGAATTTATTAAATCTGTAGAATTTTGCTATTTATAGAAATAAATAAATTCTTGAGAAGAATTTTTTTTACAGTTTCTAGAAATAATTGAATTCTTTCCTTTTTATTAAAAATAATTGAAATTCTGCAATGAGTTTTACTATTTATGAAAATAATTGAATATATTGCGAAGAAATTTTTAAAGATAAAATTGTAATTACGGTGACTAACTTCCCTTGATTATTTTCGAAAAATTTAAATAAAATTCTTTAAAAGAATTCAATTATTTTTAATAGAATGTAAAGAAATTTCAATTATTTGTTTATAAATATTCAATTATCTTGAAACAATAGAATTGAAAAATTTCAAAAATCTTATATTTCAGAATTTTTAGAAAAACTTTGCAAAAATTCAGTTTTATTAAAATATTTTAAGTGTGTATCTTTTTTTAAATTAACTAATGAAAATTTTAATTATTAATCTTGTCACTAAGAAACATGAATACATTAGAATGTGACTCTTTATAAAATTCAATTATTTATCAATTATTAAATTAAAATACTTTGAAAATTCGATTTGTTAAAATGTTTTTAATGAAATTCTTTAACAAATTTAATTATTTTCAGTTGAATTTCACAAAATTTCTATTAAGTTGATACTTTTTTTAAAATTTATTTACATACTATATTTCAATCAGTGACTGATTTTTTACTATCAAATTAATTATTTTTAACTTATTCAAATTTAGAGAATAGTATAAATATTTATAAAAAGTAAAATGAAAAGCAATTTTTTAAAAACAAATTAAAATAACAAAACTTTTTTAATTCGGTGAAAAAATTCCCGAATTAATTTTATTAATTAATTAATAGTATAAATTATTACAATAAAAATTTAATTTGAAGAAGAAATAAATAAATTTGGTTCATTCGAACGTTCAAAACTTTAGGATTATTTTTTGTGAAAAATATGAACGAAATATTTTTTAATTGCATTTTTTTAAAAACAAATTAAAATAATAAAACTTTTTTTTAATTCGGTGAAAAAATTCATGAATTAATTTTATTAATTAATTAATTAATAGTGTAAATTATTACAATAAAAATTTAATTTGAAGAAGAAATAAATAAATTTGATTCATTCGAACGTTCAAAACTTTAGGATTATTTTTTGTGAAAAATATGAACGAAATATTTTTTATTAAAAATATTTACATAAATTATAGATTTTGCAATAAAGATTGAAAACTTAAATTTTAAGTAATCAATAAAAATTAAAACAATAATTATTTTTTAATTAGTAAATAATAATAAATAAATGGTAATTAATAAAAAAATTGTTATAATAATAAATTATATTACTATTATTTCTATAATAACCCATAGTATATTACAAATGAAATCATTTTTAACAAAAACAAATATACAAATTTTTTCTTTTTGTAATTTAAAAGAAAAACTTGTAGAATTAAAATTTCCCAAATTAAAACATCTTTACTACTCATTTTAAATTCTTTCTTTTTATTAAATAATATGAAATTCAATGCTTTAAAAAAAGAGAGAAAAAATACCAGTGAAACTATGTGTTTGTCTTAAATCATTAAACTCACATTACATGAAATATTAAAGCACAAGAAAGATGGAAAAATGTTTTCTTTTATAAATAAGCTCCAATGCTTTATTTAAGTTAATATTTTTCCTATTTATACGATTTTACTTTGATGTATAAAGGAGGAATATATACTTTTTTCTCCTTTTTATTTTCAAAAAGAGCGAAAAATATATATGCCAAAAGGTCATAGCGTAAATGAAAACATATTTCCGAGAATACGAGAAAGAATTGAATAATTTAAAAAATAATTAGTGTAAATTTACGCTATGTAATTTGATTAAATTTAATTTGTTTCGCAGACATTTTGCAAGAATAATTATCATAATATTTTTTAATATATAAATAATTCTAATCAGTGCTATTAGTAAGCATTCTGATCAACCATTTTTGTATACACTTTTTTACTTACAATACCAAATTTTTTATTTGATTGAAAATTGTCTTCACATATAATGGAAACAATACTAACTTGGACAATTTGATGGATAGCTTCCTCTGGATCTGGAGATGCTTTCCTTTTTTTACTCTAGTGTCGTATCCTGTCGCTGTCACATCAAGATCTTCATTATAAAAACCCTGAACTGGATCTCAATTCATTTATTTCACACTCACTTTGTTTTATTGTTAAGACGAAAAAATTATTAGATTTTTAATTTTGTAACTCTGAATAAATAATTAACTGCAAAAAAAATTAATTACGCGCACTACCCGAATTTAGAAATTCCACACTTTGTTTACTTTTTTTTATTGAGACACGTGCGAGAAAATAACTTTCCATTTTTCGCAGTTGACAAATGTGACAAATACAAGACGAAATTTTAGGTTATGTAGAGAAATTTACGAATTTTATCATCCGCTCGTGAAATTACTGAAAGTTACGATCATTAAACAATCGAAAAGTTGAAAAAATAACCGTGAAAATCGGAAAAATGGAGATAAAAACATTTCGAAGGCTTGACGTTACACTCAACAAAGAAAAGTCGCGACAAAGAAACCGAATTACTTTATTCACATGCAATCAAACTGTAATTACAATTCACGCGACTTTATACATTAAAAATACTTCGATTTAATATAAATTTCGAAATATTTTGCAGAAAATATGCGTTTTTTACAGAGGAAGAAATCACAATAACTTTTTGGCGCGAGAGGAAGTGAAAAGCAGGGTGCGGTCGCTCTGTACACAAACTTGCGAAGCATCAAGATGGTGTGAACGACACCTAAACATTAAAGCCTACTTTCGATTATAGCGCTCCACACTGGTGGACAAATTTAGAAACAATCTTAACTCCAAATTAATAAAAATGCTATTACAAGAAGTTCTTACACTAATTTCTGTCTGTGCATTTGTATTCTAAGCACAATAGCGTACCATTTTATTATTCAAAATTTTTATACATTTGTAAAAACAATAATTATTAATTTACGACATTAGGTTGTAAATTCTAATTATCTCTCTTAAAAGTTTCATGTTCTTAAATGCAGGTAATACTTTAATTACTAACTAGTTTAATTATTTACAATTTTTAGACTCAAAATGTTATTATCAACATAATTTTTTGAAATATTTTATTCATTTCATTGCTACGTCCCTGAGACGAATAGAAAATTCTTGACATTTGTGTGACAGTTTTGGAAGAAAATGGAACAAAAATAATGACGATAAAAAAATGATTGTCAAACAATAGTTTATTATTGAGAAATAATATTCACTTAATCGAAAGTGATTATTTAACCCATTTTATATATTTTCTTACAAATGTAAGAAAAAAGTGGAAAAAAAAGTTTACAAGCTGGTCTATTTTGTAAGTATAATTTATTGTGACATTATTACTCTAACAATTATGTTTTAATCGTTTTAATCTTTCAATTTTATCTTTAATTTTCACTTTTGTAATAATTTTTCTAGTACAATAACGTATGAAAATTATAACCTATTTCTCGGGGGTTCAGTATTGTTTTTGTTTTTTAATCCAAATTTAATGTTTTTTTGAGGTGCATGATTTCACCCAAATTAATTTATAATTGTCATATATCGAAATTTCATAATAATTAATAATAAATAAATATTTATTTCAAATAAAAATAAAAAAGCATATGCTAATTTATAAAAATTAGATTTCATGCAAATTATGAAAAATAATTATTCTGCATAAGAAAATTTATATTACACACAATTTCATAGTGTGAAATTAATTGTATTTTATATAAATAATACTTGGAAAATCTATAAAAATAAAATTTAAGTAGAAATAATAATAATTAAATAACAATTATAAAGATAATTTTTTTTACGTACATCTATTCAAATAAATGCCATCTGAAATATTTTATTTTTCAGTTATTTCAACGCACACACAAAATATGTCACAAAGGAAGATTATAGTAAAAACTACAAATGTCTAATATTTAATAAAAAACGAAAATTCTTGAACCAAAAAAACAGCAAAAATGTGTGATCAACAATTGGGAAGTTTAATAAAATGGCTAGATACATTTGATTTAGAATCAGTTCACTCAACACCAGAGGAAATAAACGATGGTGTCGCTCTCGCTGAGGCTCTATCGCAAATTGCTCCCGAATGGTTTACAGCTGGTTGGCGGGCAAAAATAAAAACTGACGTCGGTACAAATTGGCGTTTAAAAGTGAGTAATTTAAAGAAAATTGTCGAAGCCGTCACTGAATATTATGTGGAATGTTTAAATCAACAACTCATTGGTTACGTGAAACCAGATGCGACAAAAATTGGCGAACAATGCGATACGAAAGAATTACGACGTTTATTGCAATTAATTCTCGGCTGTGCCGTTAATTGTAATCAAAAGCAACATTACATCACACGAATAATGGGTCTTGAGGAAATTGTTCAACAAGTTATAATGCAAAGTATTCAAGAATTGGAAGAGAGTATGCATGGACCACGATTAAGTTTAGGGGCGAGTTTAAATTTTGAAACATTTGACATTGGCGATGGGGCACAACAAAGATTATTGGCCGAACTTCAAATGGCTGTTGATTCCAGGGATCAGTTGGCGCAAAGATGTCATGAATTAGATCAACAATTGTCATTGTTACAAGAGGAAAAAGCGTCATTGTGCACGGAGAATAAGAAAATGCAGGAGAGACTCGATGAACTTGAAAGTCCCGGCGAAATGGGAGCGAGTTTAAAATATTCTAGTTTACGAAAGCAAGTCGAGGCTCTTAAGGACGAAATGTTTAAATTAGAAACATCAAGGGACGATTATCGGTTGAAAATGGAATTACTGGAGAAAGAGGTCCTGGAATTGCAATCAAAACAAGAAGATTTGCAAAAGGTAATTATTTTCTAATTTTATTATTTGGTTGCCACAAGTCAGGGAATTCAGGGAGAAATTAGGGAAAGTAGAATTAGTCTGGAAAATCAGGGAAAAGTCTGAAATTTTTATTGATATACTAAAATTCTTATCAGAATATTCTTTATGGTCAGCGAAAAAGTCAAAATTTTGTCTGGAAATCAGGGAAGAACAAAATTAAATTTTCGTGGCAACCCTGTTATTATTTATAATTTATTATTTACAATTTACAATTAATAACAATATCAATTTGTAGTCGGCGGATGAAGCGAATCACTTAAAAGACGAGGTCGACGTTCTAAGAGAAACAGCGGACAAGGTTACAAAATACGAGCAAACAATTGAGTCCTACAAGAAGAAAATGGAAGATTTAAGTGATTTACGAAGACAAGTGAAAATTCTCGAAGAGAAAAATATGGAAAATCTCCAATCGAAAATCGATTACGAAGAAGAAGTGAAACGAAATACAATGTTGAAGAATCATTTAGACATGTGTAAGCAGCAATTGGCCGAAATGCACAGAAAATTAGATGAACATAGTAATAAATCCGATAAACTTGAATTTGAAATGAGAAAAAATGATGCCAAATGCAATACAATTCAACGTGAACGTGATCGTTTAATATTGGAACGCGATGCACTTAAAGAAACCAATGAGGAATTAAGATGTACACAATTGAACGCAACGGAAAATCGTGGACATCCAAATGACGATGATAATAATACAATCGAGGGTATTCCACTTGAAATCAAAGAGAAACTTTTACTTCTCCAGCATGAGAATAAAATGCTCAAATTAAATTATAAAGGAACTGAGGAAAAATTGCCCACAGTTCAAGCACTATTGGAAGATTCAGAGGAACGTGTCAATACACTGAGGGATCAGAATCGTAAGGCAAATCAACGTCTAATCGAATTGGAGAATAAATTGGAAGAATTGACGGAATGTCAAGCGAGTGGTGAGATGAAAAATGAAAATTCTCACTGGCAACAAAAGGTCAATCAGTTGATGGATGATTTGAGGAAAATTCAAGTTGAACGTGAACGATTGGCATTACAGGTGGAGGAGCGTGAGAGTGCACTTCAAACACAAAAGCAAAAGGTATTTAGTCTTCAGGAAAATTTGACCCGTAAAGAAGAGGATCTCGCTGCATTGGAGGAGCGCTATAAAAAGTACATTGAAAAAGCAAAAAGTGTCATTAAAAGTCTAGATCCAAAACAGGGAAATTCCTCGCCATCGGAAGTGACAATATTGAGAAATCAAGTAATGGAGAAGAGAAAAATAATCGAGGAAATGGAACGTTCATCCAAAGAGAGCAAATTGCTCAAAGAAAACGAAGAGAAATTAATGTTATCAGCGTTTTATCGTTTGAGTCTAGCTTGTCATCGTGAGGCAGTAGATCAACGTTTAGCAGCTCTAGGCCAAGGTCAAGGTCAGTCCTTCCTCTCTCGACAAAGGCAACCTTCGTCGAGACGAGCTGGAAATCCAGCCTACAATTCTAAATGAATTTTAAAAAAAAGTCTTTTTGACAAATTATTTTTTTGTCAGTTTATATTCTAATGATCTTGCCTTTTCCTAGAATTAGGAATTTTTACCTATAAGTAACTTCCGCACTTATTTTTAACAATATGTAAGTCTAAAAGTGGTTTTTTTCAAAAGCGAACATATTTTCGTTTAAAAAAATTTTATTTAATTTTCATTCTAATTATTTTAATAATATTTGAATGTATATTTTATGATACATTGTTTTTAGAATAATTATTACAGAGTTTTAATTCTATAAATAGAGAAAATAATTGAAATGATATTCCATTTTTTTCTCTTTATTCATGTACAACGATATATGTTTTTATGATTGTTAGTGTTAATAATAGAATTTTAATCGACGACGTTTTAAACAAATTTCAAAACCATGACTCGAATTTTATTTTAAAAATATCTAATAGTATTATGTGAAATGATTACCAACTAATTTAATTAAGAAATTTATAAATTGACAATGAATTTTATAATATATGCATGAAAGAATCTTTTCTAATCTCTTGTGAATATCACTAAAAAAATGTATAAAATATCAAATATTTTAGAAAAAAAACAATAAAGATATATTTAATAAAAAAATGTTTCATTCTTTAAAGAGAAAAGGCATTAATTTCAAATTTGAAAAATGTATTTCATACGATTGAAAATATATTCACATTTCAATTAACATATATATACATTACAATTTGTAATTAAAAATGTAAATTATTACATATTTACAATATCTTTGATAAAACAAAAATCTTGAATCTTGAATAGAATATTTTTTCAGTAATCGAAATTAATAGTCTACAAATATAGTGAATTAAAAAGATCTACTTATTTAATTAGAATTGTGCGATCCTTCCTTTAGATTATTAAAGCATTGCAAATTTTCTTTCAGTGCACTTTGATAATCGTCCTCTACTCTAAACAGATATGACTTAATTCTACTATTTTGCATCGAATTTTTTGGTTTTAATTCCTTTGATGTCAATTCCAAATTACTCTTACATCTCTGATAATATACAACTCCATGCAATAAATCGTAGACAGTAAAATCCGGCCACAGTTTATCGGTAAAATAAACGCAGGAAGTTGAAATCTAAAATCAATAATATTAAAAATGTTAAATTGGAAAAAAAACAGATGTTAAATGTTGTTTTTTTTTACTTACTTGCCACAGTAGAAAATCACTAAATCGTATTTCCCCCGATGTGCGAATTAATAAATCGGGATCCGGAGAATTTTTGGTGTATAAACTTTCATTTATTAGGTCTTCACTAATATCGTCTATCATTAATTCAGATCTCTTCACACCTTCAGTGATATTTCTCACTGAATAGGTAATTTCATCTGACGCTAAATTAGTAACATTAATTAACTATATCAGTGACAAAGTGAGAAAATAAAAATAAAATACGAGAAAGAAGAAATTAAAATAAAATTCAACGAGAAAAAGAAATTAAAAATTAAAATACAAGAGAAATTAAAAATCAAAATAAAATAGTAGAGAAAGAAATAAGAAGTGAAAATAAAGAAATGAATAAAGTGAAAACAATTTGTTTCATTATTTGTAAATTTGTACGAAACTTACATGTATATGCAAATGCAATATTGAGAATTGCTCTCTTATTATTTTTCGTCATGTAAACAGCTTCTGAAATTTGCTGTTTTATGTCGTCTGGAATTAAATACAAATTTCCAATTACTCTTATACAAATTCCATGTTTCTCTAATTGCTCCCTGTAAATTATACACTTGATTAAAATACGCATATTTATACAATTAGAATTTTCAAAAATTAAATGCCTAATTGTAAAAATTGCAAAACAGGGTTGCCACAAAAAAATTAATTTCGTTTTTCCCTGACTTATTTCCCAAATTTCCAAACCAAATTCCCACCCTATATAATAAAATTCTTTACTTCACTTTTCGTTACTTTAATAAAATCTTTTAATTAAATATTTAAAAAAATTCAATTAAACATTTTCAAAACAATTAATTCTACAGAATTGTCAGTTAAAAGTATGAAAACTTTAAATTCTCAAAGATTTAAATTTTTGAACACAATTGAATTTCTGCGAAGAATTTTATTAGTTTTGAAAATAATTGAATTTCTGCAATAATTTGTAATTTCTCCAAAATTAAATTTTTTCCAGTACTTTAATAAAAATCTCGGACTTTTCCCTGAATTCCCTAATTTTTTTGACCTGTGGCAACCCTGTAAAATGTATGAGAAAATAATTTTTCGTTGAAAATTTACAGCAGTCATATCGTAATTACCAGAGGCATAATTTAAGAAAATTATCCATAATTCTGAAAGTATTACCTTTCTTCGAGAAGGCGCTCGAATTTCCTTCTGGCAAGATCTAAAAGATCATTAACCTCCTCTTCACTTCTTTTAAAATTTTCTATACTAAAAGCAAAAACTGTAACTTCGAATATTCCAAGTTCGAAGCACCATTGCAAAGTTTCGGACAATTTATCAAAACTAAAAATTAAAAATATATTATTTAAATCTCGTGAAATGACAATAGATTTATATAGAAAGACAAAATAATATAGTAATCAGACAATTTCTTATAGCTGAAAAGATAGATAAACAGAATTTTACCCACCCTTTCGAATGTCCATCCACATTTTTTACATTATTCCTTTTAGCATAACGTCTATTTCCATCCATTATAAATGCAACATGTTTAGGAACATGGCCAGTTTTTACAACTTTAATAGCGAAACGTTGAGTCCAACTTAATTTACTCTCTCGAACCCACGACATATTTTTAATTGATTAACATTAATAAATGTTTCAACTTTTAGGTGTTTTTAATTCCCTCAAAGAATCTACTGGAACAGAAAAACAAAAAATGAGTCCAGAATTATAAAAAATCTATAAAAACTTATTAAATAATAATTAATAATAACTTGTTAAGTTAGTAATGTTTCTTATCAAATTAAAAAAATTGGAGAAAAAAATACGAATCAAAATTAGAGGTTAGGAATGAAACATAACTAAGAATAACAAAAATATATTCAGTTCCATAAAAATCATCGTAGTTTTACTGTTAAAAATTAATTATTTGACGTAATTTATAATAATTATTGCTTTAAATAAATAATGTCACGCATGACTTACCTGTGGACTGTATCTGACAAACTGACCAAAACTGACAGAATGACAGATTGACACCTCACCGATGTGAGGAAATAATCAATCAACAGGGGCAGGTTGATTCTTGTGAGAAATCTCTTTACTTCACTTCGTCAACTATTATTGTTGAATTACTAAATAATTCTATTCACTGGTCTACATACAATAGAAGTAAATTTTAACAATTTGAAACTTGAAAATAAACAAGTAGTATGTTTGTTAAAAAACGTTTAAAAAAAGAAACGCTCTCTGGGTACAAGAAGCAGAACTAATTTTGGTATTAATCAGCTGACAATTATGATCATCACATTCGATAAAAATGACATGACATAAATAAAAAGGGGAATCACAATTTGAAAAATTTATTAAAAATCGTTATTATTACGTCGTCAATCAGTGAAAATTGCAATAAAAATATCCGTAAGTAACTGTTGTAAATATTATTCATAAAAAATATGTTTCGTTCAGTCGTGAATAACATTTTTTAACCTATAAATTAATTTCTAAATGTTTACGAGATTTACGATTTTACGAATAACGAGATATTGTAAACATTTGGGTCAACTTTAGTTGTTTTCAAACAATAATAAAATCGCGTAACCTAACAGTGGGATAATTACTTTTTATTTTATTGATTTCAGTGTCTTTTTTTTAAACTTAACGATTGCCTCATATATTTTCATGAATTTTATATATAAATGGATATTTATACAAATAGAATTATTTGTAGACGAATGGATAAACTTGTCGACAATGTGAAATGATTTCTCTGAAGAAAAATTCAAAATCAGACATGAGTAATCTCAGTACATTGGAGGCAGCAGCACAAGAAGAGAACCTTCACTCGCAATTTGCTCTTCAAGTTGCTTTTCAAACAATGAAGGAACGTTGTCAACATTTTCAGGCAAGATTAGCTGCTGTCGAGGAAGAAAATATTCGTTTAAGACTAGAATGCGGTAAAGAAGTAGCCGCAATTGCTGAAAAAAGTCGAAAAGATACTAAAGATGAAATCTCAATTTTAAAAGTAAGTTATTTTCTGATTTTTTTCATTTAACACTCTGAATACTTTCTCCGTTTGTTATTTTTGGTATTAACGATTTTTTTAACAGGAAAAAGTCGAGGAATTAACGAAACAAAAGTCACAATTAAATCATCATATTTTCATGGTGGCGGCTGAAAATCGTCAATTATGGAATAGATTAACGAGATTAACTAGAGCAAATAAAACATTAGGAAATCAATTAACAAAAATTTCGGATACACTTAAGAAACATCCACCAGCGGAGGCAACGGATATTTTAACATACAGTTTTAAGGAGACTTGTATTGATACACCGGGTGATAATAAATGTCTACTTTCATCGGATGGTAATTTTTTTTACTATTCTTCAAATATTTTTTTAATTTTTTGTTTTTTTTTACATTTTTATTTATTTTTCAATATTTTCATTTTTTAAATGAATTACTTTTTTCAGCTATTAAAGATCAGAGTCTCGAGGAGATTTCTCTGAGGCTAATTAATAGTATAATGTTGGAGAAATGTGAATTAGAAAAACAATACGCAGAGGTATTATCAACTTTTTTACAAACTAAATTTCTACAGCGTTGCCACAAACATTTAATTTTGTTTTTCCCTGATTTTCAGACAAAATTTTGACTTTTTCCCTGATCCTAAAGAATTTAATTAAAATTCCTCAATATACTTGAATTTCGGAGAAGAATTTTGCTATTTTTAAAGATAATTGAAATATTGACGAGAATTATTTTTTTAATATTTGAATTTCTGGAAAGAATTTTGGCATTTATTAAGACATGTGACAACTCTCTCCTAAATATATTAGAAAAGAAATCAAACTTGTAATATTTTGCAGATGGTGGAATTACAAACTGATTCGCAGGTTAATCTGCAAAACGTAGGTTTCACGTATCCAGAGGACGTTGATACAGATTCTTTGGAACAATTAAAAGATCATGACAGTAGATTATCTCAAACGAAAGAAATTCTCTTGAGCCAACAGGCAAGATTGAAGAGAATTGTAGGAAAAATTAAAACCTTAAAGAAAGGTAAATACTAAATTAATTTTATCTAAAAGAAATCTTACAGAACCTCTTTTTATTTATTTATTACGTTGTATTGTCTGTATTGTTTATTTTTTTGTCCACTCACGATTTTTTCTTTATTTTCACAGGAACAACGTGTCAAATATGTCGGAAGAATGCTAGTAAAATTCTCTGTCAAACAGGTACACAAATTGATTTAGATATTAGTATAAAAGAAAATCATACATTAAAGACAAATATTTCTGCTGATAATTTAAGTGAACATAGTTTAAATTTTGAGGAAAATAACCTGAGTAATAAAATATGTCCATTATGCGGTGAATCTTATGGAAACTCGATTTCGTTCACCGAATTTCATGAGCACGTATTGAGTCATTTTAGTAACGAAGACATGGAAGTTGTAAATTGATGTTAATATTTAATGGTAAAATTTATAATTCTAATTTAACAAGCAAATTTTATCAATACATATTTTTAAATTATGTAGCAATGTTTCTAATCGCAGATCATTTAATTTATCGTCCTTGTTTATGAAACAATATTTTAAATGACTTGTTCAGAACAAAAAGAAAAGGTTTTTCTGAGTTAAATCTGCACGAGGTTTCGTTTATTTTACCGCAGATCCACAACTCATGTACCTCGTAAAAATACCCTCAAAAAGAGATCTTAATTCTTTAGAGAATTTGTACAAATAAAAATAGAGTACAAAATATTTCTTTTATTTCATTAAATATTATTTTCGATTAAAATATATGTAAAAACCAATAACATTTCGCAGTATTAAAAATTACGGCAATATTTATGATTTTCAAAATAGTTATTGGGAAAATGTTTTTGTGCAATGACGTAAATAGTTGTAAATAGTTTTATTGAAAATTTTAATTTAATTCATGACTTATTTTATTATTTGAAACTTATTTACCGATAATGTAAAATAAATATTTGTAGTATTAGTTAAAAGTAAATATACTTAGGTATGTAATTTCTATTTATTTTTTATACTTTACAAATAGCTTATAATATAGACAATTCTTGAAAAATTGAATAAATTTCAACTTTGTATAAAAATCTACTGTTATCATTTAAAAAAACACTTACACTATGTTTGCTGGTTTCACTTCTTTACTGTCTGATAGTTCTTGCGTTGTTGGTTGCAATAAATTTTGATGAAACCATTCTGGTCTCTTTTTCGGTAATTCAACTATTCGCTGATTCTAAAATACAGAAATGGAAAATTTAAACATTAACTATAAAACATTTTTTTTAGTTTTTTACTAAACTGACAATCTAAAAAAAAAAAAATCTTTAAGTAAAAGGAAAAATATCCTTTTAAGAGTAATAAGGAAAAAGTTTCAAATACCTTCCAGAAATCTTTCGATTTATTGTCATTTTCATAAAGAACAATAACTTCCCTATCAACAGGTTCCAATTTCAAATCGTTCTGAATCGCATTACTCATTTCCTTCGTTTCCTTTTTTATTTTCTCATAACAGTGGACTATATAAAACAAATTGAATATTAACTTTTAATGAATTAACTAATATGAATTAATGAAATAAATAGAATTAATATAAATTTTGATTTGATTTTACCGCAAAGAATTCCAATTTCATGAACGTAACCGCAATTAGGACACATTATTAAATTGTTCTTTGGTTCCAAAAGTTTCCAACAATACTCGGGAAAACCGTATCTTCGCATCATACGTCTTTCTATCGATCGTCTATGTTTCGGAACGGCCCATAAAAATCCATTGTCTAGTATCTCTTTTAACGAAAATGATTTTCTTTCAGCAGATGATTCCTGATTTCTGACATGATGATTAAATTCAATTGCACACAGTTCTGAAAATAAAAAAGTATCATAATTAATCAAAGTTGCCACAAAAAATTAATTATGTTTTTCCCTGATTACCAGACAAAATATTTTGACTTTTTCCCTGACCCTAAAGAATATTCTGATTCACTCTAAAAATTATTATTAGATTAAATTCCTGCGAAGAATTTTATTACATTTGAAAATAATTGAATTTTCTGCAATCATCTCCAAAATTAAATTTTTCCTGTACTTTAATAAAAATCCCTGACTCTTCCCTGATTTTCCTGAATGATTCTTTTCCCAGACCAATTCTACTTTCCCTCTACGAATTTTTTTGGTTTGCTTCTATTGCACGTAATTAATAAATTATTAAGATCATTTTGATCTGAAATATAATAAAAATTAATTTTTAAAAAGTCCGAAAAATGTTAACGTTGAAAAAAGAGGTTAGGAATCGGAAAAACTGTTTTTAATGTAAAAAAAAATTACTCACGTGGAGGATAACCGCCTCTAAAAATTAATTCTACAAAGTGATTAAATTTTTGCAGTGCAGTATTAAATCGATTAATAATATTCGAAACCATTGTAATTAATTTGTTGTGAAAAAAAAAACCTTTAACCTAATCAACTTGGGTAATTTCTGTGTTTCTGGTAATTTGTGACAATTTTAGGTTGTCGATCCTGATGGATTTTTATAGTAATATTTTATTTGTAACGGTTGGTCACACTGGAAGTAGGTGATCCTAACCTCTCGCCGCGTGGTTCATTGAAAAGTTATTAACCTGCTGTCGTTTTTAATTTAAAATAATCAAATTTTATCACCATGTACGACGAATATGAGCGTGAACAGGTAGCGTACTTTTTAAATTCAAATTCTAATATTCATTTACAATAAAATGCTTACTAACATATTGACATATTTGCAGTATGACACCGGTGAGGAATATGCTCTACAAGAAGATGTCGAACCCTATAACAGTAGAAATTACAGAGCTGTACAAGTTCCCGACAAGGTCAATAAATTCCTGGTCTATTTTAGAAATTGCATCAACGAAAGCATGATATTTGAGGTGCAAAATCTTTACGAGAATACATTTCCAAAATTAACTGAACAGTATTTCAAACAAGAATCATGGCCCGATGAGAGTGCTATTGCACACATAGTTGACAATGATGTAGTCTTCCTGATTCTCTATAAAGAATTGTACTATCGTCAAATATACGCAAACAAGCAGGGACCAACGCTTGACCAACGTTTTGGATCTTTCTACAATTATTGTGATTTATTTAATTATATTCTTAATTCCGATACTCCGGTTCAATTGGAATTGCCCGATCAATGGCTTTGGGAATTAATTGACGAATTTGTTTATCAATTTCAATCGTTCACACAATTTCGTGCCAATCTCACTAGCAAGGACACTGACGAACTAACAAGTTTAAATGCGCACAATAAAGTTTGGGATGTTCTCTGTATATTGAATGTTCTTCATTACTTGGTGGACAAATCGAAAATAAAAAGCCAACTTGAAGTCTATGCAAGTGGAGGTGATCCTGATTCAGTCGCTGGAGTTTTTGGCCGACATTCACTTTACAAAATGTTGGGATATTTTTCAATTGTCGGCTTGCTGAGACTTCATTCGCTTCTTGGCGATTATTATCAAGCAATCAAAGTTCTTGAGAATGTTGAATTGTACAAGAAAAATGCTTATTCTCACGTACCAGGATGTCAAATTTCAACTGCTTATTATGTTGGATTCGCTTACATGATGATGCGCAGGTTTGTATAACAACTCTTTTATAATAAAAATTAAAAAACAAATTTAATATTAAATACTAATAATAAATATTAAAAATTACAAATGAAAATGAAAATTTCAGATACGCTGATGCAATTCGAACTTTCTCAAGTATTTTGCTCTACATTCAAAGAACCAAGCAACTCTTCTCATCGCCAAGTTATCAAAATGATCAAATTAATAAACAAACCGATCGTATGCTGGTACTTTTGGCAATTTGCTTAGTTCTTCATCCACAATGCATTGACGAAGGATTAACGCAATCTCTTCGTGAAAAGGGTTATCATGATAAAATGTACAAGATGCAATGCGGTGATCTCAAGGAATTTGAGACTAGTTTTACATTCGCGTGTCCCAAATTCCTATCATTATTGCCACCACCTAATGGAAAGAATTACGAATATGGAAAAGACGCGATTAAACATCAGACTCAAGTATTTATGGATGAAGTTGTTCAACAAAAAATATTGCCCACAATTCGTTCTTATTTGAAACTTTACACAACATTGCCATTGACGAAACTCGCGACTTTCATTTGTAGTTCACGAGCAGATGATGATTGGGATCTTGATAAGGAAGTGAACACTTTAACCATTCAATTACTTTGCTTCAAGCACAAAATGAAAAATATTGTTTGGTCAAAAGGCGCATCAGGATTAGACGGTAGATTCCAGTCCGGTTCCGAGGTAATATAAATATCCTTACATCTTTATATTAAAAGAATTTTTTTATTTAAATTAAAAGAACTCTTATTTAAATTAAAAGCACTCTTTATTTTAAACTGAAAGCACTCTTTTATTTAAATTGAAAGAACTCTTTTACTTATAATTTGAATATTATAAATTGAAAATAATTCCAATTTGGAATATTTCTAATTAATTTTCTTTGAAATTATTTTTCAGTTGGACTTTTATGTCGATCACAATATGATTCATATTGCTGATACAAAAGTCGCTCATCGCTATGGTGATTTCTTCATTCGTAAAATTCTCAAATTCGAGGAATTGAATCGCAAATTGCATCATATAAAAATCTGAATATTGCTAATAATTTTGTATTTTACTAATTCAAAAAAAAAAAAGGTAAAGAAATAAAAGGATAAAGAATTTTACTTAAATTCATTTTCTGTCCTATTGTAATAAATAATTATTATCTTTCCTAATTATTTATTATTTTCTAAATTTGTGACCATAATATTGTATCATTTGTACTAATTCAAAGTAAAGAAATTAAAGTGTAATGAATTTTACTTGAAGTCATTTTTTTTATTAGATTAATAATAAAATTTTATTACCTTCCCAGGGTTGACAGAAAAATTTGATTTTGTTTTTTTCCTTATTTCCAGAATGAATTTCGACCTTTTTCCCTGATTTGTATAAAAAAAAACCCCCAAGGGGAGTTTAATTATAGAAGAAAGTCAATTTTAGAAGGAAAAAATTTTAAGAACTTTATAAAAGTGTTTACTCATTTCAAAAATGAAAATAGTTATTTTAGTTAACTTTCCTGGATTATTTTAAAGATTTTCAATACAATTTTTAAAGAAATTCAATTATTTTCAATTTAAAATTTTAGGAAATTCCAATTATCTGTTTATAAAAAATAATTTTTTTAAACGAAATTTAAATAATTTAATTTTAAAATTTACTAATTTGTAAAAATTTTAATTGTAACTCTTTTGAAATTAAGTTATGTATTTTAAATAACTTTCCTCGATTGTTTTCTTGAATTTCAATATTTAATTTTTAAACATCTAATTTCTTGCTGAATATTTAATAAAATTATTTAAAACTTAAAAAATCTTTAAATAAATATTTAATTATTATTAATTTCTTCACAAAAATTGAAATTTTCCAATGTTTTGTTTGAAACCTTTTGAAATTAAATTATTGCTGAAAATTGTAAGATTTTGTCTGAAATAGTTTTTAAGTTAAATGTTTTTAATTAATAAGTTTTTCATAAATAATTTTGAACACCGAAAACGCTGCTTTCCTAAAATAATTTAATTTTGCGATTACAAAGAAAAAATAAATCAATCTTAAATTTGTAAACATAACACTACGAGTAAATAAAAAATTGTGTAAATTTTATAAAATTTATTGTTACTCTAAAGGTCAATTTACATAATATATATTTATTTTTACTCAAGAATAACACATTCCCATTATAATTTATAATCTAATCTTCAATGCTTTAATACAATTGTACATACATATAAATCTAAAATTTACAGAAAAAACGTTAGTGTATACAAAAAAGGAAAAAGTGTGTATAAGACTCGTGACATGCACATGTAAAATTAAAAAAAAAATTCCCTAAATTTACAAAAGGCACTTTTTAAATTGCGTTATTTTTTTCATAAAATACTAATAAAGTGATTTAAAAAAAAAATGATATATCACACAAGAGATCATTTCCATTTTGAAAGAAGAGGAATATTTTTCTATGTTTCTGATTTCTCCTGAAAATATTTACAACAAGCGGACATAATATTTGTGGAATTTGACGGTAATTTTGTGCCATTGAGATAGTGAAAAAATCTATTTCCCCGTTTATTATTTGAGGAATTTCTTACTTCCTCGGCGCGACAAATTGTACGAATACAAGGAAGATAATCTTGTGAAAGAATTTTTCTATCATTAACTGTGGTTATTGTTGATAATATTGTATTAACGGCAATATTCGCTTTTCTTCGTTTCCATAGAGATGATAATATTTTCATTGAATTTTGCTCCGTATCTTCTTTTTTATGAATTATTTCTCTTGTTAGCCAATCGGCAATATTTGAACTTATACTATCTGTGTGTGAATAAGGCCTCATGTCTTCGGTTAATGATAAATTCATGACAGATGTTACATTAGAATGATTCAACGATACATTATCAAGTTCAATTAATTTTGATATTAGTGATACATTCTCAAGATCATCGGCTATTTGGGCCAAAATATCCGCATCATTTATTGCTTCTTGTGATATTCTTTTTTTACGTTTACCTTCTTTTATAACTGATTTGTAAATGCATTGTGGCACTTTTTGCCAAAGGGACATACCATTTCGATTGAAATTGTCGACTATTGGTGGTAAAATATGTGAATCTCCGGTTGCCAATAAATATTGAAGTTGTAGTAAGGCTTTTCTCAAATCGCCACTTGAAAGAAGAGTCTAAAAATGATGTATTTGATTTTAGTGGAAATATTTTATAGGAAATATTAAAAAATGTACGTCTATTTTATATTTAGGAGAAAAAAAAATTACCTCAACGCAGGATGGAGAAAGTTTTCGTCCGGTTTCAGCTAGGGAAATTAATTCCAATAGAGCTGAGGCTCGATGTCCGGTGATGGCTTCAAATTTAATTTGAATTTGCAGTGGAGCTAATTTATTTAAATGAGAACATTTGTCACTGCAAGTCATAACAATAGGACGTTTTGTATTCGATGCCAAATGATAAGCGGCCGAAATAAAACCCTCATCTTCCTCGAAAATAATGTTCACATCTTCCATAAGAATCAATGAATTTTGTGGAATCTTCTTCTCCTCGACTTTTGATTTCAGAAACGATTGCTTCATATCTGATTTTCTTATTCTGTGTGACTTTGTTGCTTCCTCCAGTTCCTTGAGAATTTTCTTACCGGCTCGTCGGGATGAGGCATTTATTTCTAAAACACTAAAGAAAAAAAACAAAATTTTGAAATTTAATTCATGACGGTAAATTTTAAAAATAACATTTCTAAATTATATTTTTAAATTACATTTCTAAAATTGAGTAATTAAAACTAAAAAGAGTTACCTGTAACCTAATTCTTCAGCAACTGCATAAACACTCGCAGTTTTTCCAGAACCAAACGGACCCATCAAGATGGCAACTTGATTATTCTCAGAAATAGAACAAGTACTGGAACAATCGGACGAGTAGAAATCATCATCACTGTTATCATTTCTTCTAGAAGGGAGTTTCCATTTTTCCAACCAATTTTTCAATTTAGCTGCCGATTGTTCATTGCCGACGATTTCTTCAGTACTTCTTGGTTTATATTTATGAATCCAAACATTATCGATAATCTTCTCTTCTTCATTTACAATTTTCTTACCCGACGATCGACGCTTTGATGCACGTACTTTTGGCGATTTTTTCGGATTTTCACCTTTTCCGATAATCGATATATTATTCCACATTGTTCTTGCGTCATTGCAACGTGTTTCAATTTCACTCAATGTCTCTTCAATATCCAATTTTGTTGTGTCGAAAGTCGTTAGACTTCGTTCTACATGCAAATAATTCATTTTTGTCATATTTGTAAATTTACTTACATCCAGTGAAAGTAAATGATCCGAAGTTGTTTTCATTTTTAATTTAATTTCACTAATTTCTTGGGAATTATCGGAATTATTTTCAGAATCCAGCTGAGTAATGTGAGTTATTAATGGAAATGGTAATACAGGATTACGAATGGGACTTTGTTTTCGTTTTGTTGGACGATTCTCATTTTCGTTCATATCCGATTGTAAAAACATTCGACGTGCTTCAATGACGGCGGGATCTAATTTTCGTTTTTTGATAAATAGTGGAGCTATTTTTTCCGGTGCTGTACGTTTTGTATCAATTTCTTTAACGATCATTATATCACCATCCAATGATTCATTGTTGTCATTGTTAATTTTAGAGTCAATTGTTTTTATTTTGTTGTCACTGACTTTATTCGTTTCGCTACTTTCATCGATGTCATTTGTTTCTTTTGTTTTTTTACGTGCCATACATCTTAATGATCTTCTCGTCGGAGTATTCTCAGTATCTGAATTCTCTGTTTTTGTCGCATTTTCAATTGCTTTCAAAACTGTGTTTTGTAGTGTTTTTTGTTCTGATTTTTGATTTTTATTCTTCCCCTTTGGAGATGAAGTTTCGCTATCATTTCCATTATCTGTAAAAGAAAAAAAGAAAAGTGGACATCAGTTTTTTTTAAGAATGACGAGTACTTTAAATTTTTTGGCAAATATATCAGCGATCAAAGTGATTAAATAATCATTGCCATCAACTAAAAGGAAAAAATTCAGGAGACTCACGCTCATTTTTTTTCCATCATTTCGGTTATCAGGGTTGCCACAAAAAATTAAAATTTGATTTTCCCTGACTCTAAAGAATATTCTGATGTACTCTACAAATTATTATATACTCAAAAAAATATTCTATTACATTTATTTACGAATTTTTTTAATTGTAAAGTTTGAAAATAATTGAATTTCTGCAATCATTTGTAATTTCTCAAAAATTAAAATTTTTTCAGTACTTTAATAAAAATCCGTGACTTTTTCCTGACCTGTGGCAACCCTGTTGATAAAAAGGAAAAAATTCGAATTAAACAATATTGTTCAGCACTTAAGTACCTGAAAAATTGTCGGAATGAAATTGTATTCGCCATTTGGGTTTATTGGATTTTTTCTTCTCCTGTAGAACAGACGGTGGACTTATACTTTCGGATCTTATGAATTGAATTTCATCGATTTGAGAAAGAGCTTTCTTTATTTCGGCTTTCTTTTTCTTTTTTTGTGAATTTTTCGGACGTGACGTGGGTGTGCAATTTGGTGGTGTACTTGATGAGTTGTCGTCTTTTGGTGAATGCACATCAGCTTTTACTGATATTTTACACTTTGCTGCTTCTTCCTTTAGCCTCTGCTCTGGTGTTGATTTACTGCAAAGAAAATTGTACCGAATATTTTTAATTTACATAATTCAACTTTTTTAGTTTTATTATTCAAGAAATTAAAAATAAATTACCTGAAATAATTTAATAAACTGTATGCTGGAGGTTTAGGAACGATTTCCGGTTGATTCTCATCTCTCTTGGGAACATTTGTAAATACATTTTTACGTGATTCTAAAGTTTTCTCCATTTCTTCGCTCTCTTTGTCTTCCAATTGTTTTCGTTTGGTAAATCCTTTCTTGTCGGCAAGTGCTTTCAGATTTTCTTTGCGTTTTTTCTTCTTTTCTTTTTTAATTGAAGCCTCAGATTCCTAGTAAAAAAGAGAGTAGAGTAAAAATTATTTATATTTTAGGATTAAAAAAAATTAAGAGATATGAAAATTCAACTTACCACTGTGGAGTTTTGAACCACTAAAGAATTTTTATCATTTTCGACATTTGGTATTCCATCGTTGACATTGTTTATTCTTTCCCTCTTATCAATAATGCAACTATCACTATCATCATTTGTTTCTTGTCCATTTTGTTGCACTTCAATTGTGTCATTAATTTCCTTTGATTCTAAATTACCTGGAGAATGATTATTTCCATTTTCTTCAGAAGTAGAATTTTCTGTACCTTGAACAGGAGTTTTTTCCTGATTATCCTGACGTTCAGAAGATGTTTTCGCTTCATCAGCATCTGGAGGTTCCGGTACATTGTCCTTTACAGGTCCACCATTTGCATGTTTCACTGGTGGTTTCATAATTTCAATATCTAACTCACATTTACTTCTTTTCGTATCTTTTGCATCAGGGGAAGTTGATTTCTTTTTTTTTCTTCCACGTTTTTTCGCAGTAGAATTAGATTTTGTTGATTTTTCCGATAAATTGACATCATTAACCTCTTTAGGCAAAGTGGAATTTGTTTCCGGTGATTTTAACGGATCAGCAAAATAATGAGTAATGTCCTTCATGTTTATAATGCTTTTTAAATTAAAAAGTATTGATTTTTAATTGATAAAAGAAACACTTTTATAGAGTAAATAAACATTAACACTTGACTTTGTTATAATATATGTTACCTGTTGGCACTACATTTTGGCGCCAGAATGAAAACATTAGTGATTATCCTGATTTCCGTTCGAGCAGTTGAGGGCGCTGACATTTGGAGAAAATTAAAAATTTTTAAAGATGTATTTTGCTGAACAAATATTTCACAAGTTATTACTATGGCTGGAAATAAATTTTTTCGTTTTTTATTAAAATTTATTTCATGTTATTATTTAATAGATTATTATTTTATTTATTTAAAAAAAAATCCCGCTAATAACTGCCAATAAAAATATTACATTCAAGGCATGCGTATTATTGAAAATTGAAATGCGCTTGCGCGAACTAAGATGTCAACATTGTAACATAACCTCAAAAAAGTAAAAAAAAAAAATACAATGCGATTGCACGTGTTTTTGCCGTTTATTGACAAAAAGAATGTGATCGAAATTTATCACTTTTAATATTAAATAATACAATTATGTTTGTTCTTACCGAGTTTAAAGATACTGTTAAAATTCCACCGTGGAATTTTAAGAAAAAATTGAATGATTCCGTCACTGATGAATTAAATAGAAAACTTGCTAACAAGGTACGTAAAATATTTTTTTTATATTTATTTTATTCATTTTATTATTATTATAATTTTTATTTATTTATTTTCTTTTTATATTTTTCAGGTTTTTCCTAACGTAGGCCTCTGTATTGCTTTACACGATATCGAGAAGATAGAGGAATCCTACGTTTTTCCAGGAGATGGTTCGTCTCACACAACAGTCACCTTTCGTTTTATAGTGTTTCGACCATTTATGGAGGAAATATTGATTGGAAAAATTCGAAATTGCAGCATAGACGGAGTGCATGGTATTTTTTAAAAATAAATTAACTGTAAAAGTTCTTTTAAAAGAAATTGAATGTACGATTACTCTAATGGCAAAAATGAAATATTTCAGTGACTCTGGGATTTTTCGAGGATATTATCATCCCACCGAATAAATTACAGCATCCATCACGATTTGACGAAACTGAACGCGTCTGGGTTTGGGAATATGAAGTTGAAGGAGGAGATAAGCACGATTTATTTATGGACGAACGTAAATGAAATTTTTTATTTTACTCAGTATTTGAAAATAATATTCTTTTCAAAATTAACTTAATGAATTAAGCCCGAATAGTGTATTATTAATTATAATTATATCAATTATAATTATATTAAAATTCTTAAATCATTGTATTGATTTAAATTAACATTTTTACAGATGAAATTATTCGATTCAGAGTTTTTAGTGAAGTCTTCAAGGAAACTTCACCGTATACCTTAATGGTTTGTAAATTCATTTTTCTTCCTCCTTTTTTTCTTCTTCTAAATAAAAAATAGTTATGCAATTTGTAAATATTTGCTAAAACGAATAATTCGAAATTTTCTTTTTTACAGGGAGCTATCGATGAACCAGGACTAGGCTGTCTCACTTGGTGGGAAAACACTTGATCAGGTTTTTAAAAAAGAATTTCTAATAAATTATTAATTACGTCCTTATATTTAAGGATTTTAATTTATTTACTTTGCATTTTATATTTTAAATTGTATAGTATTACGGTAAATAACTAAGAGGTAGAGAGGGAGAGAAAATAAATAAAATAATAGATAATATCGACATTATTTTGACGTCGTAAAAATATCCCAAGGAAAAAAACTTGTTTTTCTTTCGAAGTCGAAAACACTTCAAAACTAGTTTTAATAAATTTTCCAATAAGTTAAATAGGTGTGTGAAGTTTTCAGTAAACGTTTGCAAATAGTTTATTAACAAAAATTCAACATTACGTTCTTAACGTTGCAATAATCCAAAGAAAAGGTAAATTTTAGTTTTTACTGTTTTTAGTAAATATTCGTTATATAAACGAAATAATTAGTTCTTCAAATAAACTTAATTAATTTTACATTTAATTTAAACAATTCATAAACAATTATTTCTTATTAAAACAATTGGTATAAATTGCAGAATTCAAAAGATGGCAATGAAGTACTCAACAATTTTCTTGTTAGTATTGTTTTTTAGTTTTTGTAACGATTCCTTTGCCATAAGTCCACCAAAAAATTGTAATGGTACGTTAATTTTTTAATTGAATTAATTAAAATTTTTTATTTTTATTTCCACTTTTTTATTAAACGAAATAAGCTTTGCTTTTGTTCCCAATCCTAGAGAAATTTCAATTTTCTTGTATTTGATTTGTTGTTATAAATGATTTTATTTTTCATTATAATAAAAATTTCAAATTAAGTAGACTGGATATGTAACCTTTTAAAAAAATAATTTATTAATAATTGTTTTTTTGTTTTCAATAGCAAATAGTGAGTGCGCAGCCTACTTGACATGCATTAACAATAAATGTATCAATGCTTGCATTAACACCTGTGCAACAAATGCAATCTGTCAAGTGAAAAATCACATTCCTATCTGTACTTGTCATTCAGGATACCAAGGAGATCCTTTCATAAAATGTAAAAAAATTTAGAAATTGGAAAACAATTTTTAAAAATCAAAAAAGTAAAATCAATTTTTTATTGATATTCTTCAAACTTTTTCCTATTTTTTCAACTCCAACGATGGGAGAATGAACAGGTTTTAAATAAATTCGAAATAAATCATTAATCACTTCTTTATTTCTTACGTATTTCTGTCTTATATCTGCTCGCTCTTAAAACTAAATTACTCTTCGAAATTGAGTCACAATGCGGCATGATATCCCGTACAGTGAAAACGATGTGTACACGGGCGTAACATTTGTTTTACTCTTTGTTTTTTTCTTTTATTATTATATCATTAAACGAAAAGTGTTCGGCAATGTTTTGTACAATATTTACAAAGGATATTGTTTTTTTTTCCTTTCTTTTTTTTGTCAACCCTCGAAAATTGCAATCACGCGCCCGAACACCGTTTGACTATACATCAAAGTCAAGATTTTCTCTCCATGAAATTTGACGACGATAGTCTCTCATTTTCTTTTTTTTTATCGATTTATTCTGAATGTCAAGTCTCTTTTTAGAATATATGACAAAACGTTTTGCAACAAAATACTTCTTTTTTTTAATATTTAAAATATTCATCGATTTTATGATTTTTTTTATCTTTCTTTTAAATCAACAACTTTCACACGTAAAATAATTTATCGGATATTATAATCTCGCGTGTTTTTTTTTTTTGCTAACGCCTAGAATGATATAGTGGAAAAAACTTAGTACGGGAGTACCTTAAGATTACAGAACACTAAGAAGATAAAAATGTAAGGTAGTTTGTAATAAAAAAATTTTCTTTTTGAAAATAGAAAAAGATTTTAAAGTTTATGTATTTAATATTCTTTAAAATCATTTCTTATTTTTTTAGACTGTCGAATAACAAAACTACCTTAATTTCATGGGAATTCAAATTTTATTTTTATTGAATAACTCTTTTCCGAAAAAAGAAAAATTATTAAAGCGATATTTAAAAAAAGGATTTTTTAATTTCCGGTTGAAATTCAACAACTTAAATGTGAAGTAAATTTTGAATTCCCATATACGATTATGAATTTACATATCTAAAATGACAAATGCAATTATTAATAAACATCAATCTTGAGTCACTTTTTTTTTTTTTTTGAATACAAGTCGTGTATTGTCAGATCGACCATTTTGTAAAACATCTAGGATTATTTGCGCGGTCCTTATTTTTACCGTACTTAAGTGCGACTATTTATTTATTTTTTTTCCCTCTAAAATTAAGCTTAATTATATATTTATGTATATTATGTATAAATTTGGTACAGAACGTCATTCAAAAATTTGTACAAATATATGAAAACCGCAGGCAACAAAATATTTATTGTTAGATTCACTCTATTATCTATTTAACAATCGTGAAGTTCAAACTGTCGGTAAAAACAAAGACCGCTTTACAAGATTATATTTAACATGCTTTGGAATGTGTTTCTTTTTTTTTCTTCTTTCTCTTTCTCTCGGTATTATGTTCCTAGATTGCCCCTCACAAACAAGCTACTTGACTAGCATGATTAAATGACATAATGGAGGGATGAGCATCAGTTTACAACAAAAATTAAATAAACTAATAATAAACAATATTCAAGAAATAAAATCGAATAAAAATGAAAAAAAAAACTAGATTTATCACAGTTCTAAATAGTGGTAATCACTGCACAATAATTATTTTCTATTGATGATTTTCCAATAAGTTGGATTAAATTTTCACCATAAGTTCTCAACAATTAAATTAAATTAAATTAAATGTTGAATTCAACTGAATTCAATAAATTATTTTTTTTATTAAATAAATTCACTACATTGAATTTTCTTTTACGAATTTCCAATAGTTATTTTTAATATTTGGGAGCACACGAGATAAATTCTATAATAATAATAATAATAATAAATTGAAATAAGATACGATAGAATTAAAAAATTATAATAATTGCACGTTCGTGAAAAATAACTATCAACTACGTTTAAAATCGTGTTGTTTCACACTGTCAAAAGCTAAATTTATTTATTTTTATATTGAATAGTTTCTTTTTTATTGGATTTCTCGTGTGGACGTTTGTTTTTTTTAAATCGGTCACTGCAAGTCATTTTCTCTAATTGTTAAAAGTTAATATTTGTTTTGAAGCTTTTTGTACTTTTCTTTTTATTTTAATTTCCAAACGAAGACTCTTTTTAGAGACGATTTTTTTAAATAAATAAACGCAATGTCAAAGTCTTTTCTTCAGTTCAGGTTCATTTATATGTTACTTACTCGATTATCAAACAACGGGGCAAATGTTCTCGCAAGTAATCGAAAAGTTCTCTTGATGTTCCGGGACAATTTGTCAGTTCTAATTCGTGGAGATGCCTTAATTGAATTAGACTTGATAAACCGCTACTTGATAACAGTGGACATCCTGAAAAAGAATTCATTTTTTTTTTAAATTATAATGAACTTCAAATTAATTTATTTTCACTTTTTAGTTTTTATTAACGTAATTAACTTAATTCCTTCTTTTTGACAATTAGAATTTCTTTCTTTTTTTTCATCAGTTTTAAAAAAAAATTGTATATTATTTAAACGGGTTGATATTTTCTAGTTTTATTTAAAATATTTATGAAATTTGTCTATATTATTTAAAATAGACGAGAGTGAATTTAAAAAAAAGTTAATATTTTTTTGCGAATTTCGTGCTCACCAGCAACAGAGAGAACTTGAAGGGATCGCATTCCGCACAAATGTTGAAGACCAAAGTCTCTAAGCTGAGAACACCATCTCAAGAACAATGCACTTAAAGAACCCATTGTTGAAATATATCCGACGCCAATATCCGTCACATGAACGCACCTGCGAAAAAATTTATTTTAGCACAACTTTAAAAGGCGCAAAAAAATCATTTTTGCTTATATTGCAAAAATGTTTACAACTTTCTTTGTATTCAAGCTTTTCTTTAACAATAACGAAAAACAATAGAAGCATTTCGACAATACAAAAAAAATAGAATACAAAAAATATTCTTCTGAAAATTAGAAAAATCCTTGCAAATATTTTAAAGAAAACAAATTAAAATATAATTATGAATAATAAAATTATAATATTTTATATTTTCATTTTTTTTTATTTTCATTCCTTTATTCATTTCCTTTATTCTTTATTTATTTTCATTTAATTTATTTATTATTTTATTTTCGTATTCTTATATTTTCAGTTTTTAATTTTCTGACTGAATTTTCTTATGTTTCCAATTTTGAATCTATACAAACAAAAATGTCAAATGTAAATTTTACGGAAAACGAATTTAATTTTTTTGTTTTAGATCACATTTTGCTTTTAAAATATCTCTTAACACATTTTACACAAAGTGGAATTGTAAATTCAACTAACGAGATTCTCAACACACAATTTACACACGATGGGTGTGAAAAGTTAATTTAATTTCATGCGTTTACTAACGTGGCATAGACTCAATTGGCTTCGACGAATTACACTATTTCTCGTGAGCAACAATTTACACATTGTGCAACACATATATCCTTAAATAGAAATACTTGGCAATATATTTTTCTTTTTCCACTAATGTGTTGATCGTCACAAACAAAAAGTAGCCGGAAGTTTACAAAATTCATTTTTCAAGTATTAATTTGATTATTCAAAAAAATATATATATGTCGATTTAGAATAAAAATTATCGAACGAGTTTTTACTCGAAAATTATATTATGAGAAGGTATCGATAATTAAATTATCGGGGAAATAAGTTTTTCCTTTCTTAATTTTCATTATCTTCGTTCTAATTTTTCCATTTTTTTTCTTTTCATTCTTTTTCAGTTTTTTTTCTTTTATTTTATTTTCATTTTTTGATTCTTTTATTTTCTTTATTATTTTAATTTTATTTTCATTCTTTTGTTCTTTTGTTCTTTTATTTTCTTACTTTCATTTCTTTGTTCTTCTATTTTCATTTTATTTTATTTTTAGTATATTATTCCTTTACTTTCATTTCCATATTCTATTTTTATTTTCTTATTCTCATTTTTCACTCCTTTATTTTCACTTTTCTTATTTTCTTTCATATTTTTTTCTTATTTATTTCCTATTTTTATTCTCCTACTTTCGTTTTCTCTTTGTTTTTACTTTCAATTTCTATTTCTTTCTCGTTTATTTACATTTTTGAAAAGAAGAAAGTAAATCTTCGTTTTGTATTTCGCACATGAAACAATAATTTCCGTCTTGTCTCTGTAAACGAGAGTCCGCTTAAATAGATAATAAATTTTTGCAAATATTACCTGTCCAGTGTGAGTTCCTCCAAGTGATTTAAGTCACAGGCAATGTACTCTAAAGCTGCGTCAGTAATTCTCGAACACCAACTCAAATCTAGCGAACGAAGTCTTGGCAAGTTTTCCGCTATTAATTCAACTCCATCATCCGTTACCTTGCTACATCCCGAAAGTGACAGAACAGTCAAGTTTGGCAACGAATGCACTGGAATAAAAAAGAAATTTTCCATTTTAATGAGAAACACATTTCGCATAAATGATGACACATTTTCGAAAGGGTATAGGGGAGAGAAAAGGAAAGAACTAAAAAATAAACTGGGTGACATCATTTTTCAACGCTCCCTATTTAATTAAATTACGCTCAGAAGTTAAATTAATTTAATTAAATTTCATAAATTTTTCTAAAAGAATATTTTTGAAAAATATTTTTTTTAAAATAATTTATAAATACTTAATTGAATTTTTCATTAAATTGGAAATTTTGAGTTTTGGAAGTTTAGAAATTTTTAGAGAGAAAAGAAATGTTTACCGATATTAACGACACCGTGATTAGTAAGTTCCCAGCAACTTTGAAGCCTTAGAATATTTAAAGAGGTGCTTTGCTTGGCGCTGAAATAACCGAGTGCAGCGTCTGTTACGTGATAAGCTTGAAGGGAAAATTCATAAAGGCTTGGTAGAAGTTGTGCCACAGCACCGACAGCTTCATCAGCTACATTAATGCAATCAGACAGTGATAATGAAACTATCCTCGGCGTTAAACAAGCCCAGAGACCGGCTTCTGTTATTTCATTACATCCGGCCAGTTCCAATTCAAACAATGCCTGAAATTAAATTTAAATACAAAACTCAAATAAATTAATTACAAAATTAATATTTCAAATTTTCCCAAAATCATTACCGACCAGAAAATAATTATTTTCCGACCATAATGATTAGAATTAGAAAAATTAGAAAAAAATTCTTTATTTTCTTTCTTGAAATACATTTAAAAATTTTCACCTGTAAATGATCGAGAAGAGCTTCTAAACCCCTGTCGGTGACTGCACAACATCTTAATGATAACGAATGAACGTGTCTTTGTGCTAAAGGAAAACCGTGCGTTAATTCTGGAATATCCTCGTCCGATGCTCCTAATAAAACAAGGGAATGGAAGCCTCTTCTAACTAAAGATGCGTAAAGTCGAGCACGCGAACTTGAAGCCATTGCCCGGGCTTCCCGACACCTTACGACTGGTACCAATCCTGCCCAAAGTCTTGGTCTCGCGTACAAAACATCCCGCCATCGAGTGCACACCTGGAAAAAATTTTTTAATTCATTGAAATTGAACTTTTTGACACTAATAAATTAATAAATAAAAAATACTAACTTCACTAATAAATGAATTATTTAAATAATTAAAAAAATTAAATAATTAAGTATTTAAATACTAAATACCGTAAATGCATTAACATAATTAATTATATTATAATAAATCGAGATATTCTGTCCTAACGTGAATTTAGGGCTTTTTGATTCCAAATTGTTTACCAGATAAAATTCTCATATCAAAAGTTTGATAAATAATTAATTTCTAAATAGAGTAATTAGTGTTTTAGTGAAATTAATTCCCTTAGAATTGTAACAATGACAAGATATTTATAGGACACGAAAATAAGTAAAGTATGGTAATTTTATCCAAAGTATTAAAAAAAATCGAATTCTTGAAAATTTTAAATAGTCTATAAAAAATTCATAATTTTTTTCTCAAATTGAAAAAAAAAATCCGTTGCAATTTTGCGAAATAATCAATTATTTTATCACATATTTTTGTATTTAAAAATTTGAATTCTCGTAGAACTTTTTTATAAGAATTGATTTCAAATAGAATTTCAGTTAAAATTTCAGAAAATATTTGAAGATTTGGAAGAATTGCAATTCTAATTTTAATCAAATTCCTAAAGGTTATTGAAAGTATTTTAAAATTTTAATTCCTGCTGGACAAATAAATAAAAATAAGTATTTAAATATTTATTAAACAAAAATTAATGAAAATTGAAAAATTTTATTTAAAAATTCTGAAGTTAGGTTTTTTATAAATTGTAATTAACATTTTTTTGAAAATAATTGAATTCCGGAAAATAAATTTAAAAAATTGAAAAAATAGGAAAGTTTCTCAAATTGCATTAAAATAAATTTTATATTTCAAGGAATTTTATTTTCTCACTTTGAAAAATTATTTTTAAATATGATTATATATTTTGAAGAATTGTAACTAAAAATTAGAAAAATAATTAAATTTTACAAAAAAATTTTTATTTGAATAATTAAATTGTTTTGTCAAATTTCATTGAAATAAATTTTATACTTGAAAGAATTTAATTTTATTACATATCTACTTTTAAAAATTGTTTTGAAATATAATCGTATTTTTTAATTATAATTGAAAATATAATCTTATTTCAAAAAATTATATTTTTTAAAAAATAATAAATTTGTATTAAATTTTAAAATAGAAAGTTTTTGTAAGTAACAATGGGCTTCAAAATTTTGGGCACGCGTGTAGTTATGCTAATTTAATAATAATTTAAATACAGTAAATAATAAATAAATAATCATAAATAATAAATGCAGTATTTAATCATCTACATTTAGTATTCAATTACTTAAATTCAGTATTTAATCATCTTCATACAGTATTCAATAAATTATTTAAATACAGTATTAGTGTAAAAAAATACTCTCTCGTGTATTATGAAAATATAAAAACAATTTTCAATTTATAGTTAAAATAAAAATTTAGTGGGGAAAAAAATTGTTACCTGTGCTAGAATTCTTCTTTCAGTTGCATTGAAATATAGAAAAAATCGACTCAAAAAATGATCGTCTTGTATAAGTTGTTCCCATGTGCATGGTGGTGTATACCCTCCAGTGCCTCCTCCTGCAAGTGGAACATTTTTTCCTCGATTTCTCGTTATTCTCATACGATTGGAAGCCGATTCAATTCGATTGTTTGTTAATGCTTTATTATTTCCCATATTACTTGTACTATTCACAGGTATTGGAACACTTCTGCTGGGTTTTTCTGGCGTTGTATTCGCATTATTTGCACTTTGTAGACTCGTATAAGCAACGGCTCCTCCTCCACAAAATACATTCGTTACACGTTCCATGACACTTGTCTTTCCACCACCTACAATTCAAAAATAGAAAAAAATTATTACAAATATTATTTATTTATTCTAGTTTAAGAAAAAAAAATCAAAAAAAAAGAAAGAAGAAAAATTCAAACTAATTTAGAGAGAAAATCGTGTTTTTATATTTTTTGCAAAATTCAATTTTTTCGATACTTTAAATATTGTGCATATTTCGAAATTCGAATTATCAAACCTTTCTTTTAAACTGCCGGAGAATTCTTTTTTGTGTTAAAAGCGAAGAGTTAATTCCAAAGGAAAATAATTTCACCTTTTGTTGTCTTTTGCTCTATAGTTTTATTCGATTTTCAAGTTTTAATTGTCATCATTATCTCTGTGAAATAAAATTGATTTTCAGTTTCTTTTTCATTAAAATGCAAGAGCAATTTGTTTTAATGAACTATTGAAGTTTGTTTGTGATATATTTTTTTTTAAATAATGAAATGGAGAAGCTTTCAATTTGTGATTCATTAGTTCAGAGAAGATTGAAGATGAAAGCATTTTTTTTTTTTTTTTTTTTTTTTTTTTTTTTTTGAAAAATAAATCCCATTTTTCTAAATAAATTGCATTTTTTTCTCTTGACAAAAAACTGATTTAATTTAGAGATTTCGAAATTAATTGTTCATGTTGCGAAACAATTGATTAAAACAACGTGACGAAATAGTCCGAAATTCCTGCTGATTTTATCAGTGGGCTTTCTACTCGGCATTTTGCCAAAATTTTTTCCTGGCTGGATTCTATTCAAGCTAGTTATCTAGCCTTGGAGGAAGTAGTGCGAACAGCGCATTTGAATCCTCCAACAAACAAGATCAAAAATAAAATTGAAAGACAATTCACAGTTACGATATATGTATATACATGTCCAAAATAATTGAAAACCTTTCTATATATCGATCTGACTGCGGCTTAGCAAACAAACAAACAACAAATTTAATAAAGAAAGCCACCGGTAAATCAATTTCACTTAGCTTCTCGGAAAATAATTTATTAAAATACAAATTCGAATAAAGAAATAAAATTACATAATATGTAAAAAAATCGAAAGAAATGAAAAAATAGAGCAAACGAAATAAAACTAACTGAATAAAAAAAAAATTCAACGAGTTTCTTGAATTAAAGACGAAGTCAAGAATTAGGTGCAGACTTTGCGCTCTAATAATAATTAATTACGCCTTTCCTTACAGTCGATCTGATAACATAGTGCCAAGACCTAAATTCAAAATCACGACTTATAGAGCAACAAAATTTTTTCCAAAAATATAAAAATTGAATTCTCCATCAAAATTTTCAATTCTCAAGCTAATTATATATTTGTTCTCTCTTCTTTTAAGAGAGAAATATAAATATTGAAATAGAATTTTGCTGTGAGAAATTGAACGTATTTCCACCTGCTGGCTGAAATCCAGGATTTGTCGACTCCCTCAATTATCCCTGACCGGATTTATTTCCGCTTTCAAATAAACGGTTTATTCGGAAGTCCAATCTTGTTACGGGAAGAAATTGGCGTTACCAATCCGCAAAGTAATAAAAAAAATTACGGCCTGTAATTAAATTCTAAAATTAAATCGACATTTTCAAATTAAAAAGAAGAAGAAGAAGGAAAAAATAATAAATTATATACTCGTTAAGGTGATGAGTGAAAAAAAATTCTATAAGAATATTTCTATTGTAATCGCATATTGTATTACTACCTGTGGGATGAATTTAAATTTTAAATTCAAATTAATTTTTATCAATAGAGTGGGTATGAGAATTTTAAATTATAATCCCAACTGCAGTCTCTCTCTCTCTCTCTCTTGATTTCTCCTGGGCATATTTTTTATTTAATAATACAAGGAATATAATAATTTAATAAAAAAATGAAAAAATAAAAAAATTGCTTTTTATTAAATAAAACAAAATTGTTTTCGTTGAACAGAATTTTTGTTAAATAATATTGTTTTCATTAAATATTTCCTTCAAATTCGTTAAATTTTGCCCTTAAAATTCATTTAAAAAATTGCTTTCGCTAAATAATAATAAAAATTTTTTCTGTTATATAATAAAAAAATTGTTTTTCATTAAATAAAACAAAATTTTTTTCGTTCAATAAAATTTTCCAAAAAAAAATTGATTTTATTAAATAATAAGAAATAATGTTTTCCTTGTCCGATTGTATTCGTTTTTGTTTATTTTTATAGAAAAATAAGAATATAATAGTAAAAAGTTGTCAATTATTAAATAATAAAATAAAATTGATTCCGTTGAATAATAAAAAGAAATTGTTTTCGCTAAATAATAATAAAAATTGCTTTCGTTAAATAATAAAAAAAATCGTATAATTTTTTTTTCGTTAAGTTTTATTAATTTTTCTAATGTTGTTAAATAATAAAAACAATTTCTTTCTTTATCTAAATGTATTTGTTTTTATTTTCCTGAAAATTCGTTAAATTTTGCCTTTAAAATTCATTTCAAAAAATTGATTTCGCTAAATAATAATGAAACATTGTTTCCTTAAAATAAAAAAAATTGTTTTTCTTGGCCGATTCCATTCGTTTTTATTTATTTTTATAGAAAATGAAGAAATTTATGTAGAAATTATTTTTCCAACCTCATCCAAGAATGGTCAAAAAATAATTTCTACATAAATTTATTATTGGATGGACGTAAAACTAACTAATATAAAAATAAGAAAATAATAATAAAAAATTGTCCTTAATTAAATAATAAAACAAAATTGTTTCCGTTAAATAATAGAAAAATTGTCTTCGTTGAATAATAAAAAAAAATTGTTTTCCTTAAATAATAAAAAAATTAATTCATTAAATGATAAAAAAATTGTTTGAATTATTTTTTTTCGTCAAGTTTTATTAATTTATTTAATTTCGTTTTATAATATAAAAAATTGTTTTCCTTCTTCAAATGTCTTCGTTTTTATTTTTCTTACAATGTTTTAATATTGTAAGGAAAATAAAAACGAAGACATTCGTTAAATTCTGACTTTAAAATTCATTAAAAAAATTATTTTCACTAAATAATAATAAAAAAAATAAAATTAAACATAATTCATGAATTATTCATTATTTTAGGGACAAAACGTGCAAGAATATAATAAACAATTTTTCTAGGTATTAAAGGTAGCATGTAATTTACATTTCTCAATGTTCTATTTCCTTGAACTCGAGAATATGAGTAATAATTGTAACGTCGATAAACCTAAAAAAATTCCTTTTTCCCAACCCTTTCACACAGTATTTTAATATTTCATTGAAATGGAATTTTAATCATTGAAAACAATTTTGTTATATATTTTTTTTTTGTTTTTGAAAAAAGGTCATTGAATTGCAATACTGCATTGCCGCTGCGCTATTAACTACACAGTATATGGCCCATGACAAGGGTCGATTGCACCATCTGATTGAAATTCAAGAGACGCAGCTTTAAATCGACCCATTAAAATTCTGCCTTCTGTCTATATTTAAAATTTAAATCCTGAAAAAAATCGATTTTTTAATGTCAAATTTGCACTAAAATACTGGTTCATGTTTTTCTATTGATTGAATAAAAGCTCTCGAACAATAGTGGCTCTTAGAATTTTTTCTTTTTTAATTATCAATGCAGACCTTCAATCTTCCCTTAAGTTTCAATCACGAATAATATGCATTAATCTAATTTGCTAATTTAATAAACTTGAAAATCTCTTCTTTTTTCGACAGTGATTTTCAATAATTTCTCTTTTTTTTCGTTTTCTTTCGATTTTTAATTTCGATATAACAAAAGAAATTCCCATTAGAAATTTGCTTGCAATTTTTCCCATTATCAACGAATTAGAAAAATCTTGTATTTTTTTATAATTTCTATTTATGAAAATTTTAATTCCGGATTTGAATTATTTGTTTTGATCGTTCAAATGAACGAATATTTTTTTTCTATTTAAATATTTTCAAAAAAAAACGACTTTCAAACAAACGACTATTTTGTTCTCTATTCAAATATTTTCAAAAATTACTAGAATAAAATTTTAAAAAAAATAATAACATTCATAGAAAGGAATTTTGTAAATTAACAAAAAAATAATTTCTAAAAAATTCAAATTCTAACGAAGAATAGAAAAAAAAATTCTTGTTTATTCGAACGTTCGAATCTTTATTTGAATTTCTGCAAAATTTCCGTTTTTGACAAAACATTTCTAATATTCTCTCTTTCCTTAATTTTAGAAAAATTTGCTAAGAAATTGAAGTGTAAAGAAAAATAGTCGAAGAAAGAAATTATCGACAATCATTCATTCTTTCTAGCCACGTAATCAAATAAGAATTTTTTAGGAACGTTTCAATATTTTTAAAATTGTATCCAAAAAATTATTAAATAAAATTCAGTACCTCGTTTAGAAAGTATTTTTTCTGATTCTGAAATAGAACTTCATTTTGAAATGGAATTTTAGATTATAATCTATATTTTGAAAAAAAGAAGTTTTCTTTTTTTTCTAAAAAGAAGAAAATCTTGTTTTAGGTATAAAAATGTAACTTCTTCTTCGTTCGTTTGTAACTGTTTTTAACTACGAGCATTTTTGAAAATTTTGCACACTTTCATCTTCCACTCAAGTGGATTATTCAAAATCAATAATAGCAAATAAAAAAGAAGAAAAAAATCGTTTATGGCTATAAAAAAATTTCTACAGTGTACGACACTTTATTTAATCCTCGCACTGCAGAGAGAGAGAGAGAGAGAGAGAAAGAGAGTCTGTAAATGATAAAAAGAGGGAGAGTGAGAGAGAGAGATAGTCAAGAGAAGAAAATATACAAACCATGATGTTTAGATGCTCGAAGTCCTAAGCCGTTGATCCTCTTCGTCAGCTCAGCGCTGGCTCTTTCAACGACTCCTTGCGCAGATATCGACGACATCTCAACTCCTTTGTCTCTCGTTTCTTATCTTTTCCCACCCCGAGAGTGTTACTTCACTCTACAGTCAAGAGTTGCCATGAGCGTTTACCTCGAGGAAATCGAAAACACTCCTCATAATTCACACCGAGCACCGCGGTTCTTGACGTTTTTCGTTTGACTTCACTCCTGATGACGAATGTTCATATTCAAGGAAACCAGATTCCGCCCAGCGATAGGCGCCCATCGATTTCCCTCGATGAACACACTTTTCTATTCCTTTCTTCCTTTTTCTATCCAACCCGAAATTTATAATTTATAATACAGATTTAAACTATATTGAAAATTCACTCTCAAATGTTTTTTTTTTGACTCCGAAAATAGAAAACAACTTTCCTCTGCAATTTCAAATTTTCGTTATAAATATTGATTGAATAAATAAATAAATAAATTTATCAAGTCTGAAAAAAATTATTTTTAATAGAAGAATTTTTTATGGATAATTTGGAAAAATGTTAACCGGTTGCACTGGCACTAACAGTGAATTTTGACCTCTTTTTTTCAGAGCGAATCAATATAGTTTAGTTCTATTTTGTCTGGATTATGTTCAAGTAATTGTAGATTTATGAAATTTTTTCTTTTTTTCTTTTCTATGTCAAATTTCAAAGTGTTCAAAAAGGATACTTGTGTGTTTACATGAAGGTGTGAAGCGTCGAGATTCATAAAAACAAGGGAGTTGCGCGGCTCGGCGTCGAGGTATAAACTCTTGTTATAAACCGTGGCTCGACAATAGAGCTCGGGGGTGGTTTGCGCGAGACTGAATCGATATTTGCACTGAACTTGTTCGGCTACCCCCCACTATTGACAAGCCAGTGGTTTCTAGAGCGAGCGTTGGGTAGATTTAAGGCACCCCAACTATTAAAACATGCGCGCAAACTCGCCATCTCCTAGGCCACTCGATTCATTTTGACTTCTAACCGCAGGCGAACCACTTTACACCAGTCTGACCCTTGACAAAAAACACACACATATTCATTTTTTCTGTGGGAAAAAAAAATTATTTTATTTCCTTCTTTAAATTAGAAAAAAAAAATATTCCCCTTAAATTAAAATCTGTATTTTATTTCTTTTTTTTTTAGTTTGAAATATAAATTATATCAAACTCATAAAACTTTACACCAAATTACTCACGTTACAATCTGTCTGTGCGGCTATAAATATTCCCTTTATTCTTTGCTTCAATGATGACCAAACAGTTACAGGCCGTTGACACTAAGCTACTATGTTGAAGGGTTCGCGTTAATTTCTTCTCTCTCTGATCTTTTTTTCTCTTTCAATATATATTCTTTACTTTTGAAATAAATTCCTTCTCGGGAGGAAATCCTTTCGAAATGAAAAAGTCGTTTCAGAATGAAAAAGTCGATTTAAATATTGATAAAGTCCTTGTAAAATAATAGTCCTTTTAAAATAATACTCCTTTCAAAATGATAGTTCTTCGAAAATAGTCCTTTTAAAATGATAGTTCTTCTAAAATAATCCTTTTAATAGTCCTTTCAAAATAAAAAAGTACTTTTAAATTTGAAAAAGTGCTTCCTTGATAAAAATAAACATTTTTTTTTTCTCCTGAATTGGTAAATAAATTTTTCTTGATTGTTTTGAAAAGTGAAAAAAACACTCTGGAATTAGGTAAATGATAGTATTAGTATTGTTTTTAAATTAAAAAATATTCTTTGAACGGATAAACCACATTTTCGAAAAAATGGGTAACATTTATTATTATGTTTATACATTATTGCACTGAGTGCAATAGTATTGTTTTGGATATTGCATTTAAAGGTCAATTAGACGATCTTCATTCCAGCCATTGAGTTCTCCATGAGCTTGAAAATTAAAGCAAATTTTCTTAGTTTATTGCATTATTATTTTTAACAGTCGAACTTTTATTTTCTCTAATTATAAAAAAATTACTTTAAGATTACTATCAATTCAATCTAGTAAAAAAATCATCAAAGTTCGACTGTATTTTTATATTTTCAATAAAGATTTAGAAATTTTAATAAGTAAAAAAATATTTTTAATAAAAATACTTTTAAATAAGTAAAGTTTATTTTAAGTAAAAATGCTTTCTCTTTAATGAAACATACCTTTAAATCCCACACGACAAGTTGACCGTCTAAACTGCTTGTACTGAACCTTGAATTGGATAATTTGCGAACGCAAGTAATTGTATTTTGGTGAATGCTATCCAGAGCACTGTCGTTGTTCTCCACTCTCGCTTGACGATCGAGCGATTGAAATTTCCTCATTGCTGATAATCCTGCGGCACCTTTCTTTTGTGTATTATCCAACTTCGATGCGAAGTAAATTTGACCATTATCATCGATCGAGTACAACATTGGCATACAATTATGACCCTGTCGATTTTGTATTTTTTAATTAGAATCTTACAAAATTATATTTTTTATTATGTGAACCGAATTTTTTTTCTCTTACCGCTGCGATAATCGAGTTTGATTCCACCCACGTACAACTTAAAAATGGAAGATGTTCTGTATATAATCTCACAACTGCGTTTCCTTTCGTGGCATCTGCAACGCATATTGAGGAATTGTGTCCAACCCAACAGATTTTATTTCCACACGGACTGAATGCTACAGCGTGAACCCATCCGCCTGGAAGAAAATTAAAAATCGTAGATATAAATTTTAGAAAATGAATAAAATTGATAATAAACAAAAAAAAACTATTAACCTCCGTTTAGCGAGTTTGAAAATTCGACAAATAATTTTCCTAAAGGTTCATTGCTTCCCCAGGCACTTTCATAATGTCGATCCTCCATGTCCTTGATACAAGCACTGAAAATTCGAACTTTATAATCCGTTGATCCTGCGACTAGCACTTTATTATTTGGATGCCAATCGATTGCAGTTACCGTTGAACGTAGAGGACGTTTTATGTGTTTCGACACCCACCAATTATTCTCCGAGGCGAAATAACAAACGGAAATAATTCTATCGCCAGAACCAACTGCGAATTTATTTTCTAAAAGAAAACGAAATTCGTTTGTAAAATTTTATTAAAACTTTCTTTTACTAAATACTGAACTATTAATTATTATTTAACGCAAGGAAAATTTATTCAATTTCAAAAATCGTATATTTACCTAGAGGTGACCATTTAACACAAGTAGCAGCTCGATTTGTTCGCAGCAAAACCCACGCGGGATTCCATTTACCACTCTCGTCTTGTGTCCAAACGAAAGCATTTTTATCAGCCGCGCAAGTGACAATTCTATTTGTCTTTGGAGCCCAATCAATTCCAGTTACCCGTTGATCGTGTTCTTGCATCACTTGAAATTGCTTCCATCCCATTGATTGATGCTTATAAACGTGAACCTCATTATTGTTTGGCGATACTGCTACCTCTGTAATTCAAAGATAATTTTCAATTCAAATTGTTTTGTTTTTTTTTATATTTAAAATTAAAAAGTTACAAAAATATACAAGTGACAAATTAACTTTTTTCCTATTAAAATTAGAGAAAACCAAAAACGGGCGAAATAATGTTGCATTGCTATTTCGCCCGTTTTCCCCCACTTACTTATTTTTCATATCGGGCGAAATAATTTACTCTTGCTATTTCGCCCGTTTTCCCCCCCACTTACTAATTTTTCATGACGGGCGAAATAATTTACACTGTGTTTAAAAAATTTATACATAAAAAAGAACTAAATATTGTGGCGATTGATAAAAATTTGTCAAGTATGATAAAGCATAATCTTATCGTAGAACACAATTGTACAAACCAGTTCTATCTTTATTCCATGCGTGACAGGAGACAGCATCTAAACCAAAATTATACACTTCCGTCATTTTTTTTCAAAACTTGATGTCAAATATTAAAAAATTCCACTCAATTCAACAAAATTTCGCAAATATTCTTTAAAAAAAACGTGTAAAAACTATTTTTCTTGTATGAATCATATAGGAGTATTCGCTTGGGTGCGGCCAACGACCCGGTTCTTTTTTAACCGAAATTAATGAAATTCGATGAAAATTTCGGGACGTTGGAAAATTCGTGGACTATGGTCAGTCTACACGAATTTCCTAATCCCTTCAAAACTTTTGTGGTTTTTATGTATCCACCAAAAACGGTGGATTTTATTTCTGACAGCTCATGTACACCAAATAAACAATAGGTTAGGTTGTGCAAATTACTAATTAGGTAAGGTTAGGTTTCACCGGGCAGGGTTGGAAAGGTTGGAGAAACTTTCTTTAAAGGTATGTTCATACCACTTTCTAAATGCATCATAGACTTTTGGAAACTCACCCAAACTATTCTCGAAAAGACGAGATGAGATGAGATAGAAAAGGATAGAAAAATCAATATCTGTTTTTTTCTATCTCATGCTTTGCGTTCGCGAACCTATTGTGAGTTGGCCTTAATGCTAATTAAAATCCATATGACATTTGAGGTTATGTTATGACAGAGTCGACAGAGTCGACAGAGTAAACAGAAAATTCGAAATTTTTGAAGAAAATAATATGCAATATTATTGTATTGATTTTTCAATCAAATGTAGAACATTTACAACAAAATTTTTAATTCTAAATAATATTTTACTAAGTGAAAGAGCTCTGAGTTACAGTTAGTCACCTGTCAATTCTGTCAGACTGAAGTAGACGTTGGCATGACCACCTGAATATTTAATGAATTTTTTCATCTACTTGTCATACACCCATTTAATAACATACTGTTTATTGTTACCTTCCAATAGAAGAAATTAATTTAGTCCTTAATTAATTATATATATCATATGCAAATGTTTCTGTAAAATACTTTCAACTCATTAATGAAAAATGGAAGTGAAACCGAAAAGCGATCAGCTTTTGGCACTAAAAGGTATCCTTTTATATTATTTGATTATTATAGACCTTTTTCTAATACGTAGAAATAAATTATTTATTTTATTTAATATTTTTTTAAACATTTGTATATTTAATAGATTCTTATTATGATTCAAAAAGCTGTGTTTTTTGCTTATTCTTGTATTGTACAATTTTTAAATTGTGTGTTCTAATTATTGTTACATAATATTAGGATAATAATATTGTTAACAACAAATTAGAATATATGTTAATACATTAATAACAGTAATTTTTGTTTGAATTTATACAAACAAAATAAGTAAAAATGGTTACACGGTTTTTCGTTTATTACTTAATTTTTCATAGTAATAATTAATTTTGAATTGAAATTAATTGTTTTTAATAGTTATGCGTTTGACGAGACCAACTCTTGCCAGTCCAATTGTTGTCACTTGTGATGCCACAGATCTGCCTGGCAACACATTAAACAATGAATTAAAAGATAATTGCACAACTATTCAAGGAATGGAAACTCTCGCCATTGGTCAATTTATGGTTTTTCCTCAAAGTTTTGGGTATGATTTTTAAATTTTCAATTCTAATGTATAATTGGATTGATAATGATTGTAAATGATTTTTTACAGAAATATATATTTAGGAGAAATTTTTTCATGTTATCTATGTGTACATAATGGTAGCAGTCAATTGGTAACAAATATCACAGTAAAGGTGAGTTTAATTAATATTTAATTATTTTAATATATTCTTTACTTAGGTGTGATAGTTTTCACTTTCTTTTCTATCATATAAAATAAAATTTATAAATTTAAAAGGCGGATCTTCAAACTAGTACACAAATTATTCCATTATCAAATCATAAGGAAGAAATTAAAGAATTACCTCCAAACAAAACAATCGATGAAGTCATTCATCATGAAGTTAAAGAAATCGGAACTCATATGTAAGGAAAAAATAATTAAAGAATTTCATTAACATCGCAAATTGTTAATTATTTTAATTTTATTAATATTTTTTCAGACTTGTATGTGAAGTGACTTATACACCAGAAAATGCAATTGGCCAATCGCTATCGTTTAGAAAGTTTTTCAAATTTCAAGTTGTAAAACCCCTTGACGTAAAAACGAAATTTTTTAATGCTGAGGTAATTAAAAAGAATAAAATCTTGCGAAATTTTCTAATAAATTATTAAATTTCTTAATTTTTACTTGTATTTTAGTCTGATGAAATTTATCTTGAAGCTCAGATTCAAAATTTAACGGCTGGACCGATTTGCTTAGAAAAAGTTTCTCTTGAATCTTCACATTTATTTACAGGTATTGTGTCACGTTGATTTTTTGATTTTGGTTTCCGAAATTTGAAATTCAATACAATTTTTTTTGATAATTTCAGTATCATCGCAGACGACAAACGAAGAGAATGAATCTATATTCGGTAAAGTGAATTTATTGGATTCGCAGTCTAGTCGACAGTATCTTTATTGTTTAAAACCACAACCGAGTTTATTGAAGGATCCAAAAATGATGCATAATGCAACGAATATCGGAAAATTGGACATCGTTTGGAGAAGCAATTTAGGAGAAAGGGGTCGCCTTCAAACTAGTCAATTGTCACGAATGGTTAGTACTTTAATTGCTTTTGAAAAACAAGTTTAACTTTTTTTCCAGATTTAAATTAAATTTCTTTTCAGGCTCCTGACTACGGCGACCTTAGAGTAACTTTCAAAGACATTCCTAATGATAATCAACTCGAGGATCCAATTAATTTTAAATGTCATATCGTTAATACTTCGTGAGTATAGATTTTTTTTCTTAAATCTTGTAATCGTTTTTGGTCGCATATTGAAAAAAATCATTTTTTGCAGAGAAAGAAATATGGATTTACAAATAAATTTACAATCCAATAGTTCTATAGCTTGGTGTGGAATTTCCGATAAGTTGATTGGCCCCCTCAAACCTGGAGAATCAACCTACATTCCTCTGTGCTTAATTCCCTTAAATGTGGGACTCATTGTAAGTTTATAAATTAAAATTTATCAAACAATCAATTTACGAAGTGACAAAATTGTCAAATTTTCAAATTTTCAGAACATTTCGGGTTTACAACTAGTGGATACATTTTTGAAACGAGTCTACGATTATGACGATGTAGCACAAATTTTTGTAAATCAAATTCCCTCGAATGATGAAGATGATGATAATAAAAATTCATTGGAGTAAATAAAGGTATTTATAAATATAAGAAGTTTTATTGTAAATAGACAGAAGAAAATATAAACTGAAGAATAATTATGTGTAAATTATTTTTAAATATAAGCATCGAGAGAAGAAACTCGTTCGGTTTCTGTTTGAGCTCCCACAGCGCAAGCCAAAAGAGTTTGAATATCTTGCGGCTCATTCCCACCGAATACATAGCCGTTTGCTTTGTCGATTTCATTTTTTACTTTTAAAAGCAATGCCTTATTGGACACATCCAATGGTAGAAAACTAACTAAACTGTACATCTCGATCACTTCCACTAAAGCGGCATTCAGCTTTTTGTATCTAAAAAATAGTAGTAAAGAAATTATAATCGAAATGTTTAAAGACAAAAGTGTCAAAATTTTGAAAAATAAAATTTTTTTCATTATCAAATAAATAAAAAAATTAGTAATTAAACTAACTTCATTTTGCAAATATAAATTTTTGACGTACTTTGCTGTTAAAGGATCCTCGTCTAGTTTCTCTAGAAGATACTTTAAATCGAGAACATCTGTGTAAAAATCAAGATTAAAATCCAATTTATCACTGAAGCGTTTCAATTCGTCTAATTTTGTCATTATGTTGACATGCGGTAGACCTAAATTTAGCATTGTACTTGTACAAACCATTAGCGAGGATAAATATTTCCCTGTAAACATTTAAGAAATATTTCGAAAAGTTCCTAAATTTACAATTTACTAAATTATTATTAGTATTCACGTAAATTATTTCTTACTATAAATTACTATTTTCGTAAATTATTTTCAAAGTAGAAAAAAATATTTAGATAATAGAGAATTTTACCAGGATCACTGCAATGATGAGAATCAATTAAATTAACGCTGCATAATCTTAGCAAGTTTTCGGTTAATTTCGTACTTATTGAATTCATCGATTCATGATGTGTATACAATTCCACCTGAATAATGTAAATATAATTAATAGACATTCGAAAATAATAATAATTAAATAAGTAAATTCACGGTTGCCACAAAAATTTAATTTTTTCTTTCCCTGACTTTTCCAAAATTCAATTATTATCTAAAATTTTAACTGAAATTAATTTTTAAATCAATTTATATTAGAAAATTTTACGAGAATTCTATTATTTAAATACAAACATGTATAATTTATTGAATGTTTCTCAAAATTGAATTCTCATAAAGAACTTTATCAACAAATTTTTAAATAATTGAATAATTGAAATATAGGAAACAATACAAATCACAATCAATATTTAAAATTAAAAAAAAATAATCACCTGTCCGGGGCAGTCCAATAAAAAGTAATGATCCTTCAAACTAAGTATTCTCTTAATGAGCCAATCAATATTCGCTTCTAGAAATTCCATACAATAAATCAGAGCACCATTTGGTCCTAATTTATGAATTGACATCACTTCGTCAAGTTTTATTAAATCCGCAATGTTTATTGTTGGAGTGTATTCCATATTTTCGTTAGCTGGATCTATACATCACGAATACATGAAAAAAATAGTAGAATAAATTAGTTTTTGAAATTGAAAAATGAAAATTATCCAAAAATACGTTACCAATGTTTACAATAGCCACTTTTCTTCCCAAAGATTCAAGAAATTTTCCCATTGCATTGCAATACGTTGTTTTTCCACTTCCTGGCGGACCAATAACTAACTGACCAAATAATAGACTCATGTTTCTTTGTCTAAATTTTCCCAAAAGGATTTACCACGATTTAATTTTATTCAATACGCTGACAATTTTTTTGATAAATTCGGGACTATAATCTTTCAAAGAAATTGTTAAAAGAAGTGTTCGGTCAATATTTGTTTGCTCGGCTATAAATCTTGCTGCCGCGTGAATTTCCGGCGCGTCAGTACCTAGTATAGTTCTTAAAAAAATGCATTTTGATTAAAAATATAAATTTGAATTTATCAATATAATATTAATTTAATAATAAATATAATTCTAATTCTCACTAACTTTGTACTATAAACGTCGCTGTTGAATTCTCTCAGACCAGATTCCTTTTCAACTGTAATGAAAGATCCAAACTTTTTATATTGAGTGAGAATTAAAAAAATTCGATTGCTGAAAAGGAAAATTTCCCTTGATTAATTTGATCCAATTTAAAAATCGTAGTTTATTAAAAATTTTCCTTGTTTTGAACGTTTAAATGAACGAAATATTTTTTGTGCTCCAATATTTTTAGAAAATACTAGACAGAAAGAAGAAATATCGAAATTAATTAATTCGTAAGAATTACTTTACTTTAATTATTAATTACTAATCAACTATATTAATTTACCTGAAAATTGGGTCTTAATTATAAAAAACAATAACTTGCAAACAAAATTCAAATTAAAAGATGTAATAAAAAAATTTTCGTTCATTTGGACGTTCCAAACTTTAGACATTAAAAAATATTTCTTCTTTTTAATTACCTGTAAATTTTAAAACAAATGTCCGTTTTATTACCATCAATTGTAACAGAACATGATTCGTTTGTAGTCATTTTATTTCTCTTTCATTTATTCGACTTTAATAATCTGTAAATCATTGTCAAAATTATAAGAAATTTATTGAAGAAGAATTATAATATTCTTAAAGAAATAAAGTAAATTAAATTTATAAGTAAAATATAATCGTAATTGTAGGTTTCAGTGATATTTTTATTATAATCATTGCAAAAAAAGTATTAAAATGATTCAACTTTGCTTATTTCTGAATGAAACATAAACATGAAATTATTGTAATACAAAATACAAAATATTGAATGCGTAAAATATAAATAAATACCTTTAGTACTTGATTATCAGTAGAAAATTTGTTTTTTACTTTTAATCCTTTTACTTTTCTATTTTTCCGGGTAAAAATAATTAAAAACGTTAAAAACTATTTAACATTCAAGGAGGTCGAGGTTAACAAATAAAGCCGGGTTCATATGGTTATTTCTCTACATTATTTGACATTACCGACCGTTTCCGGACAAGTTCGAAATGTCAAAGTTGCAAAATTGTCCGAAACCTTTGTTTCCTGTAATCTATGGCCGAAAGTGCAGAATACGCACAACGTTGTGTACACTAAATCCATACAAATCTTATTGCAAACATTATTCATAAATAAACATTACTAAATAGTTGAAAAACAGAGGAAAAATTAAAAAATTCGACAAAAGTATTTGTATTTGAAAATTTGCAAAAAATAAACGTTTTTAAAAACGTGTAACAAGATGGAAAACAGTGGTGAAAGTGGCGACGACGGAGGTCCTCTAGGTTCATCGACTTTTCTCGGTGATGGTGGAATGACCGGTAATTATATCGGTGGTGACTTGGAAGGTATGCAAATCAAGAATTTTATTTAACAAACAATTTTTCTCAACCTAATTCAATTGTTATTATCAACAAAAATGCTTGTGCTTGCGTGTTTTGTTTTCATTTTTTTGTTTATTGATTGTTTCTCAAAGTTTCTAAACTTTGAGACACCTACAACTTGAGAGTTTAAACTTTACAGCATTTTAGAGAAAGTCCAAGAGAGTCTTATCTCAACTGTTAATTGCTATTTTAATGATTTTTAAATTCCAAACTATTGTCAATTACAAAAACATAACCTCAAAATCTAAAGGGAAATGTCACTTTCAAACCAGATGATCCAGAAAATACTGACGATTCTAATCATGGAAGTAGTGACCCCCTACAAGGTGGTGGAGGTGGAGGTCGTGCTGGTCCCCTACGAGAACAAGATCGTTTTCTTCCCATAGCAAACGTAGCAAAAATAATGAAGAGGGCAATTCCTGAATCGGGTAAAATAGCCAAGGATGCACGTGAGTGTGTACAAGAATGTGTTTCAGAATTTATCTCATTTATCACGTCGGAAGCAAGCGACAGATGTCATATGGAAAAACGAAAAACCATTAACGGGGAGGATATACTTTTTGCAATGACAACACTCGGTTTTGATAATTACGTTGAACCACTTAAACTTTATTTGCAAAAGTATAGAGAAGCGACAAAAGGTGATAATCCACCGGGAACAACGTCAGGCAATGGCGAAAGAAAAAGTGAATCGGCTCATTCAACAATCTATGAGGAACAACTTTTCACCATACAAGCAGCACCTGACGCAACAACCTCCGATACACCTGTTATCTATAGTTATTCCACATCTGATCAAATGCACTTCCAATTATCTTGATTGTCAACGAATGGCACACCTCTATCTTCCTTTCTTTGAAACTTTAAATAGACATTTTAATTAGAGAGATAGAGAGAGAGAGAGGGGGGAAGTAAAAAAAAGAGTAAATGGAAGTAAATCTTAAATATGTAAAAATAATGAATCTTTTTCTAAACGTGATTGAGTGAATGTAAATGAGTAAAATTCACCTAATAGGGTACTGCGACAATATTTTATTCCTTAAAAAAAAAGTTGAATCGAAAGACTGAATAACCTTGCCAAAATAAAAAAATAGGCAAGAATTACCAAAAGTCCCTTTGACCAAAAAATTGTCGCATAACCTTAATTTTTGTCGCTATTGCAAAGTTAGAAGAAATTTTTTTTTTATTCTATAAAATAACGGGGCGCATGATTGCAAACCAAATTATCATCTTTATAATTGTTATTTAACGGAACTTTAAACTTTATAATCATTTACTCGAATGTAAGGTATCTATAATTTAATGTTAACATTATTACGATATTTATTATTTTTTCCAATTGAAAATAATTAAATAATATAAAATAATTGTATTCTAATTATTTTTTTACAGATTTTCCAAGTATTATAAATATAAATAAATTACAATAAATTTCACACTATGAAATTGTGTGTAATATAAAATTTCTTATGTAGAAATATTATAAAAATATTATAAATAATTTCATTCCTGAGAAGCATTAAATTATTTAAAAAAGTCAAATAAAATTCTACGAAAGAATTCAATTATTTTCGAAAAATTTAATAAAATTTTCTTTTTAGAAGTTTAACTGTTTTTAATGCGATTTCAATATGACTTCTCGAAAAAATTCAGTTTTTTGTTTAAATAATTGAATTCTTTCGATCGAATGTATAATTGTGTTTTTAATAATTATTGAGTACTTCCGAGAAATATTATAAAAATGTTATAAATAATTTCATTCCTGAGAAGAATTAAATTGTTTAAAAAAGTCAAATAAAATTCTACGAAAGAATTAAATTATGTTCAAAAATTTAAATAAAATTTCTTAGAAGAAATCAATTATTTTTAATTAAATTTTTGTCAATTTTCTGTTTGGAAATGAAGGAAACGTAATTAGAAAAAAAATTTTTTTGTAGCAACTTTGAAAAGGTTACATAATTGCAATTTTTTAAAATATTCAATTATGTCTTTTTGAATTTGAACACTGAATTCTCGTAGAGTCTTTGAAAAGAATTGATTTACAGCTGAATTTCCATTGAAACTTTAGAAAATTATTAAGTATTCGAAAAATTATAGTAAAAATCCTATTAAATTATAAACAATTTTAAATATTTATAATACTTTGAAAATCTATAAAAAAATTCGATTAAAAATAAATTATAACAAATATTTCTATTCTCAATATTGTAATAATGTTAATATTAAATTATAGACACCTACCTTTCGAGTAAATGATGATTATTAAGTTTAAATTTTCGATATACGACAATTATAAATATTTTATAAATTTGAGTGAAATCATGCGCTCCAAAATAACTTACACACGGTAGAATTCAAATTTTCTCCAAAGGAATTCGCCTTCGAAATTTTGTGTGTCAGTATTAGACTAAATTCAGATTTAGAAAATAAAAATAAAAGAATTTAACGTTCGTTAAATTAAAAAGTTTTGAAATTGAAAACAATTTTTTGTTTCTGAATGATAAGAAAATAATTTTAAAATATATTGGTTTTACAATAGTAAGACTTAAATAAATAAATACAAAAAGAATTAGAAAACATCAGCTTATTTATTCTCAATTCTCTTTTTTTCAATTAAAGCACTAAAATCGTGTTTTGTTTGTAACTAGTTTATAACAATTCGCGAGTGGATGTTCACGTAATCCGGTAAAATTCGCTCCACTCTGGGTACCGGCAGTAAAATTATGTGTTTTGATTTCATTTTTATTGTAGAAAAAGTTTTTCTTTATTTTGATTAGAATCGGGACCGTCACTCAGGTAATTGGGCAGGTGAAAGTAGGAGTTCGCGTCCTCTTGTCACTGGTGAAACTATACAGGAGGATGAAGGCATTGCCGGTTGAGACAAGGGCGACAGGAGTGAAGCTGTTGGTAGCGACGGTTCCGGCGAGGACACTTCCTCTTTATGTTTCTTGCGATTTTTCTTGGAGACACAGGGACAGGGTTTCCAACGGCAATGCCCGCATGGACATAGACAAATACAGAGGAACACCCGTAGGAAGCAACATAGTAAACCAGCGCAAAGTAGCGATGGTCCAATTAGTCTTAGTTCAGGGCTGAGAAATCCTTTTTCTCCAGTTCCAACGAAGGAAATTACTAGGCCAAGAGCAGTTGTTCCCAGTCCTGCGTAAAGTAGTGTGTTTGCCGCTGCACTCACTTCACCGGTTCGACGAGCACCCGATCCTCCTTCTTCCTCGTCGTCCTCGCCACTGCTTCCATAACAGTAACTCGCATCTCGTATCTAATTTCAATTTAATTAATATCATTCATTTTATTCATATTCACAAATGAAAATGCAATTATATACAATTTTGAAATTTTCAGGCCTCGGATAGTTTGACTTTTTTCGACAATTTGCAGAAAAGACGACTTCTTTCGATTTACTTTCAAAAAATCTCTGACTTTTTTCGACTTTTCTTCAAATTAGGTACCACTCCTTTTTGGTATGAAATGAAAATTATTATGATTTTTATAATATTGGAAAAATAACTGTTAGTAAAATATTAAAAAATATTGATATTATAATAATGATGATATTAATATTTAAATATTTATTTTTCATTAATTTTTCTAAAATAATTAAATTTTCAAAATATATAAATAAAAAGTTTTTAAATAACTGAAATTTTGTAAAATTCTAATGAAAATATTTCCTTAAAATTTTCAAAAATCTAATATTAAACATTTTAATTTTGGATTTTAAAAATAAATAGATTCTCAAAAATTTTAATGAAAAATCATAAAAGAAAATTAATTTTCAAAAAAACTATTAAGAATTATTCCATTAAAACTGTTTGTAAAATATAATTTTTTTTAAATTATCGAAATTTCAAAGAAAACGTTTATTTTAAAAATTTTTAAATAAAATTCTTTAAAAACTTGATTAGTCTTTTAATTTTTTAATAAATTCTTTTAAAATTCTATTATTTTCAAAAAATAACATTATTATCTGTAAGTATCAGGGTGTCTAGCGAACCGGGAATCCGGGAAAAACCGGGAAAACCCCGGGAATTTTTTTTTTCCCGGGAAAAACCGGGAAACCCCCGGGAATTTTCTTTTAAATCCGGGAATTTTTTTATGAAGTACTTTATTATGTTGTTGGAAAAAATAGTTACATTTTTTCAACGCGTAACTTAATTTTTTTTTAATTTCGAATTGTATATTGATTCTCTTCGTATATTAGACAATGTTTTATTATTGTCCAATTAAGACCTAACTTATATGGGAAATGATTTTCGATGTGACAATCCAGTGGGCAAAAAACCATCATTGTTTTAAAAACGTTCCAAAAATGTTTTTAGAACGTTTCATGTCTGCCAAATAATGTTCCAAAAACGTTCCATTGCTTTTAAAACGTTTTAGAAACATATAACGTTATTGGGACGTTATTTGGCAGACATGAAACGTTCTAAAAACATTTTTGGAACGTTTTTAAAACAATGATGGTTTTTTGCCCACTGGGAAGCTTGTGCCAAATTTTTACAGTGATGCGACACCTGTTTTTGATTTTAAACATGAAATTACCGTCAAGTAAATCACAATACAATTCTTATTATAAGTTTTACAAATATTACGATTAAATTTACTGTAAAATTTTAGTTTTCAATTATCCGGGAAAATTATTTACATACCGGGAAAAAACCGGGAAAACCCCGGGAATTTTATATTTCTAAATTACTAGACACCCTGAGTATATAAATTAACATTTATGAAAAATATTATGCTTTTTTGTACTTATCCTTAAAATTTTTCAAAAATCACAAATTTAATGTTTGTAATTAAAATTCTTCCAAAATCTTCATTATTTTTTAATATTTTCCAATAACTCCTTTTATAAATTCAATTATTGTTAAAAAATTGTAATTAATTTTCAATTATTTGGAAATTATTCAATTTTATATAATTAAAAAATTCTATTATCTATATTATCAATGAAAAATTACTTTAAAATATTTTTAAAATACTAATTTTAAGAGTTTTTATTATATTTTCTTAAAAATTTGAGTATATTTTAAATATTTTTCGTTAAATATTTTTAATAATTCCCATTTAACAACTTTAAAAATAAGAAAAATTCTTTAAAAAATTAATTATTATTTCAAATTGTAAAAAAATTCTCTAAAATCAATTACTTTCGAAAAATGACATTACAATATTGTTAAGCAATTAATTCTTAAAATTTTTTTTGGCATAATTTTTTAAAATTCAATTATCTACAAAATTTAAATTTCAATATTATACTTTCATTAAAATTTTTCAAAAATCGTCAATTTTTATAGATTTGTAATTAAACTATTTTCAAAAATTTAATACTTTTAAATATTTTCCGAAAATTCTTTTAAAAAATTCAATTGTTGTCAAAAAAAAGTTACTAAATTTCAATGATTTGGAAATTTTTCAATTATATATAAATAAAAAATCTATTATCATTCAAAAATGATTTAAAATCGTTTTTAAAAAACTAATTTTAAGAATATTTTTTTAAAATTTGACTATTTTCAATATTTTTCTTTTTACAAATTTTCAATAATTTCTATCTAAATAATTTTAAAATTTCAAAAAGTTTTTTACCCAGTAAAAAAAAACTAATTCAAATGAATTGAAACGAATTAACATTTTTGGTAGGCTCCAATTCGTATTTGTCACAAAGCGGGATTCACTCAAGCTCTTTGTATATTCAATTGAATTTAATTCAATTTGTACCAATTTGTCCAAACGAATTCGCATTCGAAAGAAATGGCCAAGGAATGCATTGAATTCGTGCTAACGAATTGAAAAAAATTAAAGGCTCAAAACTTGTCCAGTGAATTGGTACGGATAGAAGGTTCGGAAGTTCAATACAGTTTCACGAATTCAGGAAAATTGCATCATGGCTCCAATTCGTATTTGTCACAAAGCGGGATTCACGAAAGCTCTTTGTGAATTCTTTTTAATTCATTTCAATTAGTTTTCGTTTACTGGGTAGTTACAAATATTATGAGAAATTGAACTGTTATATTTGAATAATATTTAGAGGAAAATAATTAAATTTTCTACGGATTGCAATTTTAATTTTTAGAAATAATGAAATTTCGCAGATTGTTTGAAATTTGGAATTTAAATTTCTGTGGAATATTAAATAACGTAATATAAATATTTTTATTTGAGAAAATTTTTTCATTTTTGAATAATTGAATATAGAAATTAATTTTAATTCACTTCTATTTTTTTTGTTAGAGAGTCAGGAATTTTTGTACAAAATAATCAACTTTTTTGAATCCTTAAGGGCATTTGAACCTTGATGACGTTACACTTTGTGCAAAGCATGTGTGACGTCATCAAGGTTCAAATGCCCTTAACGGACTTTTTTTTGGGTCTTACAGTCGATCCGAGGCTTGAACTTTAATTTTCTTTTTTTTTTTGCATAATATATTTTTAGAATAGAAGCGAAATTAAAGTGAAATCATCATAATAGGAAAAAGTTGGCAGGACCTCAGATAAAAAAGTTGGAAAGCTCACTTCCCAGCTTTTTTTTCTCTCATCTCTCTTTCTTTTGTGATTTATCGGTGATATTTTTATGAGCACATTACCCTGTTTCTTTTCATCCATCGGCGATGGGCTTCGCATTGTTTGGTTTTGTAGCCTTCTCGTGAGCCTTGTGGAGAGACTGGGGATTCTAGATGAGGAGATCGATTGCATCCTTGCCATGCTGCCTTACTCGACGCTTGTCCACCGCACTGTAACAATTTCTCAATTTATTTCTATCAAGAATAATAATTACGTCAACGTGAAACTTTTTTTCTTAAATCAACAAGTTTCTTACTAAAGTTTTCTGGTACAGTGTCCTTTAGTCGTATACTTGAGACATAAGAATTTATCAGTATATATAGTAAAAATTTTATGACTACGATTTTTTTCCAGAAAATTTAAAAAAAAAGAAGGAGAATTTTAGCATCGCGCCGCATTTTTTCTTTTTTTAAAAAAAGGAAATTTGAAGAATAATTTTATTAAAAAAGAAAGAAAAATTATTTTAAAAAAAGCATGCGGACAAAACTTTCACTCCTGCCACTCTCACAAATAAATATACAACTACACTACACAAATACATTAAAACAATTGTTGTACACTACATTTTTTTTTGTTTTATTTTTGTTTTAAAAAGTGATTTTTCTTTTTGCAAGTTGTTTGCAATTGCAGAAAAGCAATTTGACTAATAAAAAAAAAATTATTTACTTTAACATCTATTTCTAGTGCTTGTACTTTTCTAACTTTGAAGACATTTATTTCTTTTTTCTTGAATAAATTTTGTTATTTTAAACCGATTTTTGGAAAAAACAGGGTTGCCACAAAAAATTAATTTTGTTCTTCCCTGATTTCCAGACAAAATTTTGATTTTTTCCCTGACCCTAAAGAAAATTTCGATTCACTCTAAAAATTATTAGATACTTAAAAAAATTTTCTATTACTAATTACCAATTTTTTTTAATTGTAAAATTATTCGAAAACGTGAAAAAATTTTTTTTTTGTAAATAAATATTTAATCATTATTATTTTTCCATAGAAATTAAGATTTTCAGAAATTTTAAATTCAAAAACTTATAAGAATATTATTAGAAATCATGAAGATATCAATTACTCCGAGTCTTCGACTCGGAGTAATTGATATCTTCATGTTTTCTAATAATTTAAATTTCCATAAAATTTAAAAAAAAATTAAACTATTTACAAAAAATTTAATAAAATCCTTCGCAAAAATTCATTATTTTCATAAATAATAAAATTTTCCAGTCTTCGACTCGGAGTAATTGATATCTTCATGTTTTCTAATAATTTAAATTTCCATAAAATTTAAAAAAAAATTAAACTATTTACAAAAAATTTAATAAAATCCTTCGCAAAAATTCATTATTTTCATAAATAATAAAATTTTCCAGAGGATTTCAATTATTTTTAATAAAATTTTAAATAAATTCCTCGAAAAATGTAATTATTTTCAAAAATTATTGGCAAGAATTCAATTACATTTTACAAATAATGAAATTCTTCGCTGAAATTCAAATATTTTCGAAATCTGCTATTTTAATCAAATTTTTCAAAAGAATTCAATTATTTAAAAAAAAATGTAGGTAATAAAATTCGTTGCAAGAATTCAATTATTTTCATAAATAATAAAATTCTTCACAGGATTTCAATTATTTAAAAAAAATTGTAATAAAAATTCGTTGCAAGAATTCAATTATATTCATAAAAAATCAAATTCTTCACAGGATTTCAATTATTTTTAAAAATGTAACAAAAATTCCTAAATGATTAAATTTAATTATTTAAAAATTTTTATTAAAATTATTCGAAAAAAATCAATTATCAATTATTTTTTATAGTTATTGCAAAAGTTCCTTGCAAATTTTTAAATCCATTTGTTTACAATTCAATTTTACGAAATTTCGATTATTCAAAAATCCTTCAATTAAATATTCAAAAAATAAAAACTTGAAATAATTTTTAAAAAAATTCAATTGAACTTTTTCAAAAAAAATTAATTCTACAGAATTGTCAGTTAAAAGTATTAAAAATTTAAATTTTCAAAGATTTTAATTTGAAACCTTTTCAAAATTCAATTATTTCTAAAAATTCATGTCACAATGCTTTTAATAGATACTTATTCAATTATTATCAGAAAAGTTTAACTGAAATTCATTTTTAAATAAATTTTTATTATAAAATTCTACGAGAAATCAATTATTTAAATACGAAAATAAATAATTTATTGAATAATTGAATGTTACTCAAAATTAAATTCTCATATAAAATTTATCAACAAATTTTTAAATAATTGAAATTTTTCAACCAATTTTAATAAAATTTTTAAGAATAATTAAATTTTTGGAAGAATTAGATTAAAATTGTATTAAAAATAATTGAAATTCTGCAACAAGTTTTATTATTCATGACAATATTTGAATCTCTGTAAAAAATTTGATTATTTATGAAAATAATTGAATTATTGCGAAGAAATTTATAAAAAAAAATTTGTAAATAGCTGAATTCCTGTGAAATTTTTATTATTTATAAAAATAATTTAATGTTTGCTTAGAATTTTATCAAAATTTTTTTTAAATAATTGAATTCTTTTGGAAAATGTTATTAAAATAGTAGATATTGAAAATCATTGAATGATGAGGAAATTTTTTTGAAAATAATTGAATATTTGCCAAGAATTTTATTAAAATTTTTGATAATAATTAAATGTTTTCCAGTACTTTAATAAAAATGCCCGACTTTTCCCTGATTTCCCTGACCTGTGGCAACCCTGAAAAAAGAATTCATGCAAAATTAAAATACTCTCTTTTACTCCAAAACGATGAAGTCGAAAAAAAGCTTACAAGTTTATTTTCGTTCCTTTGTTTTTATTCAATGAAAAAAATAATAATGACATGCAAATGACAAACACGTTTCTTGCAATCAGTACCGTTTTCAATTAATATCCATCATCGGACAAAATCGTAGTTCCAAATTGATATTATATTTCAGTTTCCCTTCTGTATTTTAATTATATTCTGAAATGTTTAAATTAATTCAATTCAATTTTAATTATTATTATTATTTCAGGTATATTTAACTTGCTTCACTCTCAATAACACAACAACAACAGAGAAAAAAAAAATTGTACACACAACACAACGAATTTTTTTTTTTTACAATTAAAAAAAATCTTCGCTTTTCTTTTTTTGAGAAATTTTTTTGTTATATATATATTTTTTTTTTTGAATGAAATAAAATTCCTGAAGGATTTGTTAAAAATTTGGAAGAAAGAAAAAAAAATGAATTAAAAAGGGGGAAAAAACAAATCTAATTACACATTGAAAAGTTCTTGACGGGAGACGTGGATCGAATTCCTGAAAACTGTTCCTCTTCGACTGAAGATTAGAGGGCAGGATACTTACCCCGTAAGCGTAAGATTTCGGGGGATATCGTGGAAGCGGCGGGATGAGTCTGGTGGCCAAGTTGGAGGGTAGTTCTCTAAAGTTCACTCTCTTACCCCCCTTTAATCGTTGCTTCTCCCTTCTAATTAACAGAGCCGCCTGCATCCCGTTTATTCATTTACAACAGCTACAGTTATTTAAAAAAATTAACTGTTTTTTTCTTTGTCGACGACGTCTTTTTGTTTCATCGATGATAAAAAACTATATAGATTTTCTAAATTCTAAATTCTCTCTCTCTCATTTTCTCCGTTTTTTGTTAAATTTTTTTATTTCTTTTTTTTTTTTGAAAAAATATTTTTGATGCTTTTTTCTCTTTCTCTCTCTTCAGTTTTCCTTTAATATCTGAATTTTGAATTTATTTTGAGAGTTGGTTCGCTGGTAAGCGGACGTAGAAACGTAGGCCATACCAGATTGATTGTTCCATCACGTTCCACATGACGCATCGTCCAAGCGAATCCACCAAACATGATTTTGGTCTCTATTCTAAATATTCCTAAAAAATATATTTATATCTATTTGTTCATTCCTATGATTCGTCGATTCGCTTCATTTTTATTTTTATTTTTTTTTTTTTTATTAAAGATTAAAGAATAATACTGCGAGCGTCATCGTGGCGTGAAAATGACAACCCACTCGATGTCCATATTTTGATTTTAATTTTCTTCAGCATTGTCCCAATCAGCTATTTTTTGACTAAAGCTCGAAAAAATTAGCTCTCGAAGGATGTGTTCTAAAAATTCTACAAACAGAAAACAAAAAGTATGTTAAAAAAAGGAAAATTGAAAGAAAAGAAAATTAGAAATTGAAATGAAAGAAAAAAAGAATGAATTAAATTATTTTTTTTTTCTTTGAATATGAATAATTATGAAAAATTTCCCTTGTCGTTTGTTTGAACAGCAGAGTTCCCATAGGTCAGAGAAATTAGTATGGATTGTAGGGAAAAGTCAGGAAATTGTATCAAAAGTATTGGAAAAATATTAAATTTCTAGAATTTTGATGTCAGTCTTTAAAAATATTGAAAGCTCTTGAATTTTTTGTTTTTTTCTTATAAAATTTGAAATAAAAAATAATAATAATAATTGAATTTTAAAGAATATGAAATTTAATTTATTAGGTATAATATAAATAATTTAATTCTTGAAGAAGAATCATAAAATTATTATTTGAAAATTATTTAGTAAATAATTTTTTTTTAAATTCAAAAAATAATTTAATTTTTATAAATTTACTTTTACATATAATTAATTGAATTTCAAAAGATTTCAAATTAAAGTTTCAGAAAATTTGAATTAAAATTTGATCATTTCAATAATTTTAATTAAAAATCCAAGAAACAATTTAATGTAGTAGATTTGCGTTTACAATTTTTAGAATTAATGGAATTTCAAATTAAAATTTCAGAAAATTTAAATTAGAATTTTATAATTTTACTTAAAAAATCTATAAATAATTTTTTTATTAAAGTTGCGTTTACAATTTTTTTAAATAATTAAATTTTAAAAGTTTTCCGTATTTTATTATATGTTTGAATGTTTAAATTTAAAATTTATGTAGAAAAATGTAGAAAAATAATAATAATTAAATATTTATTTGTAAAACATTTTTAAAATCTGTTGTTTATAAATTATTTAGTTAATAATATTTTATTTGAAAATTCCAAAAATAGATTTGCGTTTATTGATTTTTATTTTAATCATTTAAAATTTTATTTAAAAAATTTTTATTTTAATTGTTATTTTTAATTATGTTATTTTCAATTGATTTCAAATTAAAGTCTTAGAAAATTCAAATTCGAGTTTAATAATTTTACTGAATTATTTGATAATTTTACTTAAAAATTGCGTTTACAATTCTTATAAATAATTGATTTTTAAAAAGTTTCAAATTGAAGTTTCAGAAAATTTGAATTTTAAAAAACTTTTATTGTAAAATCCGAATAAGTTAGTTTTATTTAACAATTTTTATTCAATTTTTCTTTAAATTATATGAATTTTTAAAAAAACTTTTACAAAAAGACTGAAAATATTTTATTTAGAGAAGAATAAATTTTAGTCAAAAACTCTAAAAAATAATTTTATTTTAGAGAAGTTACAAATAATAGTAATTTTTAAAAATAAATTATTTTTGAAAAGATTTTAAATTTAAATCTTTGAAAATCTCTATTTTTAATACTTTTAATTAATAATTCTACAAAACTGTTCTTTTTAAATTTTAATTCAATTTTTTTTTTTAAATTATCTGAATTTTGTATTTTTTAATAGTAGATTTAATTTAAGAATTTCCGAATAAAATATTATTAAAATAGATTTGTAAACAAGTGTATTTCAACATTAATTTAGTTGAATTTTCTTTATTTTCTGAATAATTGGATTCTTAAAAAACTTTTTGTCAAAACTTATTAAAAATAATTGATTTACAGAAGAATTTTGTTCAAAATTTCCAAAAATTGATTGAAAATAATTTTGAAGAAGTTAGCAATTTTGATAAATTATCAAATTTCAAAAAGGTTTGATATTAAAATTTTTTTTTAAATCTTAATTCCAAGGGAAAAATAATAATTATTAGATATTTATTCAAGAAAACAATTATTGATGTTTTTGAATAATTTTACACTTGAGAAAATTTGTAAATAAAAGTATGAGAATATTTTTAATCATTATTTAGAGTGAAGAAGAATATTTTTTGGAGTTAGGGGGGAAAAATAAAAAATCTTTCTGGAATTAAAGGTAAATGTCAGGGAAAAACAAACTCAAATTTTTGCTGAACGAGATTTTCGAGAAAAACAAAAATTAAAGAGGTGAAAAAAAATTGGAACAGTGCTTTAAAAATGAATTTTTGAAATTTTTGTTAGTGTCAATCCGCCTACCGGCGAACCTGGAGTGTTATTATTTATCATCATCATCATCATCATTGTTGTTGTCGTCGTCGTCGTCGCCGCCACCAGACAGCCGATTAAGAACTTTATAGAAAATTGAGGGTGCCGATTTTTAAATTTGCAGTGCATCACGACTATTACGTGTCGATTGTTCTTTTTTTTAAAAGTGGTTTACTTTTTTTTTACTAAGAGATAGTGAAAGAAAAATGCGGCATCTTGTTCTTCGTAGCCGTGAAAGTGATCTAAGGTCGGCTCCAGGAGAGACAACTTCCCAGGTGTTTTCTCCAATTTATCAATTTTATACATTTTATAAATTTTATAAATTTTCTCCATTCTTCTAGTATTTTTCTGATCCATTCATTAATTTGAATTTTTTTCCTTTTTCATATGTATAAATTTTACAATTTTATCCGCAGTATTAAAGTTTGAGATTTCATAAAGAATTTGTAAATTCATTAAGTGGGTATTATTACGAACTGAAATATTAAACAAAAATAGAATGTCTTTAGTTTAAGTGGTTCTTGTAATAAAAGGAATGAATACAATTTCAACTATACATGTCTTCGCTTCGCAAAGTTTCAGAAGTTTGAATCTAGGTCTTAAAAACAAGTTAGAAACAAATATGGTTCAGGTCAAGTTATAGTTCTGGGATAAGAAGTCAATGAATTCTACTGTTCTCGAGAAAAACAAATTTTGTTTGTTTGGAAATGAATTTTTGGTTTTCTTTTTTAAAGGGAGAACCTGGGAAGTGTCAACCCGAATCCAAGTGAGCAGGCAGTGGTACCCACCTGTAATTCTGTAGCAGAAGGCGAGACTCGAAGGTCGAGGATGGAAGGCGGTGGAAATGGGAAATTTGACGATTTATTTGGCCTTGGACTTGGAGATTCTAGGGATAGTGGCGGTGGTGAAATGGGAAATTGTATAGGAGAGACTGGGGCCAATTGCTGGCACCTTTCAACCCGACGTCGTCGTTCTATACTCGAATGGAAGGCGCACGAAGGTGGTGGTGCTGATAGTGTTGAAGATGATTGTGGTCGAGCAACTACATGTGGACGTGAGAATTTTCTCGTGTGACTAGTTGCTGGAGCAGTTTTGATCCTGGCCGCAGCTGCAGCTGATGCAGTCGCAACATCCGACCGCTTGTTCAGCTGCAACCGCTTTTGCTTTCTCCTGTTGGCGATAGAAGCACCACCCGCTGCTGCATACATCCCGCTATTTCTTCCTCGTCCCCGAAATCTCCTCTGGTTCCCGCTTTAACGCCTTCGGGACAGGCGATTTCCGGTTACGAATAAATTTTCACCATGATGGGCTGCAAATGCAAGAAATGTGACGGCGCACTGCGCCTTTAAGATACCCTACTCTCTCTCACTAACGAGACTTATTTTTGTGCACATCGAATAATAATCACGACTACCAAATTCTCTACTACTCGCTTATTTCAAACATTAATAAGCATTCAACTCCTTTTTAATTTCTGACTTTTAGAAACTTCTTTACTCCAACTCTTTTTCCATATCGGACCGAATTTAAAGAAAAACTGAAATCATTATTTTGTCATTATCGAAAATTGAATTCAACTAGGAAGCTTTTTTTTACTGTCAACATAAAGTATATAATCAAAAGAGGAAGATATAAGAAAAATATTCGAAAAATACCAAAATCAGCTACTAAAGATTGGTGCAATTTTTAAGTATTCAAAAAATCAGTTGATAAATTGGAGCAATGCAATTTTTTCTTTCATTCAGAACTAGATCGATCCAACATGCTAAAAATTCAAAGAAACCTGCCTTTCCAAAAATTTTCAAAATCATGCAAATTTTTCCTCTTGGAATAACGAATATTAAAATCAATCTAATGGAACACGATTCGTAAAAAAAATCCACAAACCAAAGCAAGAACGAAAAAAAAAATGTTTCTGTAGAAAAAATAGAATACAAAAAAAAAATATTATTTTCCATATCGACTATGTAATATTTTATAACTCTATACTTTTATGCAAACAACGCAATTTATTTCCTGCTTCTGATTTATCTTTTTTATCGAAAATTTATCTATTAGAACGATCGAGGTTAACAGACTTGTAGCGAAAAGAATGAGGTCAAGTTTCTATACAACAAAATAATAAAAAGGTTTTTTTTTTCGATACGAAATTAGAAGAGAGAAAAAAAAACCTCCGTCGAATTTTATGAGTGAATTGAAAATATTTCCGATATTAATTTTAGCCCTTTTGTCTCCCGTTCACAAAAACCCCTTTTTTCTTTTGATTAATTAAATAAAATTTAGAAATTGCGTGACAATAATCGGAAAACGAAAATATACCACAGGGCGTGACCTATTTTTGAAAAAACACAAAACAAAATGAATGTAGGACAAGTCAATCGTTTTTTTTCGATCTAGAGCAAAGAAAATAAGTAAAATTAACTATTTTTAAACTAACATTTTCGAAAGTAAAAAGAAAAGACATTAAAAATCTACAGAGACTAAAAAACTCAAATCTTGCTTACATAAAGAAAAGAATATTTCAACTTTACAACTCATGAATTATTCAAATTATTATCCATCATAAATCTATTTCTTTCTTTTTTTACAAAGTATGAAATATTCTTTTTTTTAAAAGTATTTCACCATGTCCTGGAAAATTGTGTGATTAGTTGTCTACGAAAATATGTATAAAATATGTATGAAATTGTATTAAAGCATAACATGCTAAATCGACAAAGTGACAGGAGTAAGCACGAGAATTATTGTAAAAAAAAGGAAAAAAATATTGAACGTGCACGAGAAAGCGAAGCAAGCGTGGAGGTGTAATTATTTCGAACCAGAGATCGAGGAACGATACCAATCAGTGTCCTCTGTCCTTATTAAATAAAAAAAATACTTTTTTTTAAAAGGTGAGCTTTTTTTCTAATCATCTACAAAGTAGCGTTTTACTCAAATTTTTTTCACTAAAAAGAAAGGCTGGCTGGTGGCCCTGGTGCGATCAAATATTTATCAATTTGTTCGCAGTTTTTCACATCTTAAAAATAAAATAAGATTTCTGCTATTTTTTTTTTTTTTTTTTTTGAAAACGATGAAATAAGATCCCCGACACCTCCGATTGGAAGGGAAAAGAACAAGGGTCTCGCCAACGATAGCAGTGTCAACAAACGGCCACATCAACAGCAACATCAACAAAAAAAAAAAAAAATGAAAAAAAAACCTGTTCTCTAACTCGATCTGGTGCAAAAGTTGCCAAACAATCTTGATCCAAAAATTTTTCTCTTTAAAAAAAAATTATAAACAATTATATCTTGTCAATTATCTTAAAGATATTTTACTTTCAAACTTTTTTTACCTTGATCCACAAAACTTTTTTATGACTTAGCTTAGAGTCATTTGCAATTGCAATTAATCTAGATATACAAATTCCCATTCGAACTACAAGAAAAGTTTAAGCAAAAAGAATAAAATTTTATTTCTTTTTTTAAATTGAGAAAAATTTTCAGATCTTATAAAACTTTCGATCGCACGGAGAATCGTGTGATGCAAAAGTTTCATTAAAAATTCGAACTTATTTGCACCAGGGCGAATTAGATGAAAAAAACAGGCACCCCTTTTCTTTTTCTTTTTTTCTTTAAGTATTTTTTTAAAAGACACACTGAAATTATTTCTGCGTTCGTACCGACGCTTGGGAATACCAGAGCTGCCTTTTTGGTCTGCTTAGGGTGACATTTCGCGTAAAAATAGGGAAAAATGAGAATGAGCACTCGCGATCGCGACGTGCCAACAAAATAGTGCGTTTAATGGTCTCATTTTTTTCTCTCTTTTTTTTTTTTTTGTTTCTTTCTTTCAAAATTCACTTTCGAATAGTTTGCCAAACGGGAACGACCAGATTACGACAAGAAGTCGTCGATTAGGGGCACGAACGCGAGACACGTTACTTCCCCATGTTCTGGCAAGTTTCCAGTACCACCACTCCACCCTTGGTCACCACCATCTTCGATAGTTCGCGCATCGAGTCTTCGACAGCGCGCGCCGCGGAAACCAAAGAGAGATCTGTGTCGAGTATGCCACACAAAAACCAAGAACCACCCTCGACGAATTTTCGATTCTAGGCCGTGTATTGCTTCCGCGCCCTCCGCCTGACAGTGACGCCCCGACAACACTTCGGCTCTTAGTCGATATTTCACTCACCTTGTGACCTTTCGCCTATTCCACGATATGAACGTGACTAATGTACATCTGATATACTGCTAACAGTCCTTCACTGTTTTAAAAAAAAATCCCCTTTCGACTCAGGGGCCAAAATCTGAAAGAATAAAATTATCGATTAATCATTTTTCTTTCCTTTTATTCTTTGCATTACGTTTTAATATTTTTTATCTAATGGCCTTTAAAGCGGATCTCAACAGTTGCGAATAATCAATAAATTCGAAAAATTTCCATAAGAAATTTATACTAAAGTGCTTTTCCACTTTACCCTCTCTTATCAAACTAATCTCTTTAATTGATCATTCTCACTAAATCTCATGTTTTAAAAGTACTCCTATAATTTAAAATACACTTAAATCTTAAGCCATTGGAAAAAACTACTAAAAAATAATTCAAACTAAAACTAATATCGAAAAAAAGTAAAACGATAAAAAATTGAATAAATAAAATTTGGTTGGAAATCTAAAGAAGAAATTAAAAACTTACAAGAATTAATATTGCGAGCTTTTGTTTTTCTTTGTAATTCAAATAAATCGCACAGGTTTGAAACAGAACGTTGCGCATGTACATTAAGTCCGCCTACTTAATTTTCCGTTCCTGTAATAAAAGAAAACAAATTTTACTAATTGATATAATTTTACTATTCTGAAGGGAAAAAAATGTATTTTATTTTCTTACCTGAGAGGTGTTTCGTTGAATATTATAACTTTCGTCATTCTTCAAATGTCGAGTGTATGTAAATTATTTTTTCAAATGTGTACCTTTCACGAAATAGTGGAAAATCGATTTTCCATGGCTCAGCAATTTTTATATTTTCTCAGTGACTAATGAATTTCTTTTTTTTCAATTTCATTTATTAATTCCAAATCAATTTCATTAAAATTATATAGTAAATTTCATCCGAATTTCATTAAATTAAAAATATTCTTCATCCAAAGTTAAAATAAATTTCATCCATAGTTAAAATAAATTTCATCCAAACTTAAAAAAAAGTTCATTCGAATTTCAAATAAATTTCAGTTCTTGAGAATATAACAAATTAGTTTTAATTAACTTTTTCAAATTTCTGAAGTCTTTTTCTGAGAAAAAGGTTTTTCAAATGTATGAGAACTCCTTTAAAATTTCTTCTTGTCTTTTTCGGGTCAATTTCAAAATATTTTGCCTCCTAAGGAAGCTTTGAATTCCTAAACTTTTGGATAAATTTCAAATTTTTGCTAAATTCTTTTCTTTTGATCTTTTTGGAGTAGGAAGGACATGAAATTAGTAAATCTTTCTGTAAGCAATTTGAGTTATTTAGTTTGGTAAAAGTAAACAGTTGAAAGTAAATTGACGATATAATTTATTAAAGTTGGAAGTAAATAAAATTTACAGTACGTAACTTAGCTCTGAATTTCTCTACCTTCGTTTCCTTCCTCCCACTTTTGTGTGTGGATCTCTCTTTCCTTTGCCAGCTTTTGGTTTTTTCGCTCCCTTGCCAGGTTTGCCGGACTTTTTCTTCTTTCCTTCTCGTTCACGTGAATTTACCGATGTACTGTATAATAAACAAAGATTTTTTAGTTTAAAAAAATTAGTAATATACAAAAAATCGGTTCATAATTTTTTTAATGATTTTACATTGCTTTAAGAAATATTTCAAATTAAGAATTAAAATTTTACCTTGTAGAAGGTGTCGCAATGTCGTCTTTGAGTATTTTACTCCTGCTTTTAAGAATACTGTTCATCACGTCGACATTGCGTTTCTTCTCCTCTAAAGCATTCTTTGGAGGAGCCTCCTTTTTCCTCTTCATTCCAGGCACTTGTGCAGCAATATCCTTGGCGTCTTTCTCCTTCGGAAGTCTGAAAGAAACAATAGTTTTTTTTCTCTTCTTTTGTTTCCAAATCATTTAGAGTAAGAAAAAAATTTACCTATCCTGAAACTTTCCAACAGACGCTGTGGAAACACGAGCGACTGTAACTGCCGTTGCAAGTTGTTTGGCACTTTTAAAATGAGCCGAACTTGGAAGTCCAACTCGAGGAACTTTAACATTCTTCGCCTTCGCAATATTTCGTAATCTTTGAAGTTCATTTTTAGCTTGTCTCTCTTGTTTTGCGGCAGTTTTCGCTTGGAATGGATCCTCTTTTGGTGTTCCGTCATCTTGTAATTCCACTAGCCAATTTTTCTGTTTATCAGCTTCGGCGCGTTTGAAACCATAACCAGGAACCCATTTCTAAAAATATGGACTTTATCACTCTGAAGTCTTAATTATAAATAAAATCAGGATTGCCACAAAAAATTAATTTTGTTTTTCCCTGATTTCCAGACAAAATTTTAATTTTCTCCCTGACCCTGAAGAATATTCTGATTCACTCTAAAAATTATTAGATACTCAAAAAAATGTTCTATTACTATTTACGAACTTTTTTAATTGTAAAATTATTCGAAAACATCAATAAATTCTTTTTTAAATTAATAATTAATCATTATTATTACACCATAAGAATTAAGATTTACAAAAAATTGCAAATTCAAATCCTTTTACAATGCAACAACTTATGGGAATATTATTAGAAAACATGAAGATATCGATCAATTATTTTTAATACAATTTTTAATGAATTCCTCGAAAAAAGTAATTATTTTCAAAATTCTTTTGCAAGAATTCAATTACATTTCACAAAAAATGAAATTCTTCACAGGATTTCAATTATTTAAAAAAATGGAATAAAAATTTCTTTTCAAGAATTCAATTATATTCATAAATAATCAAATTCTTCACAGGATTTCAAATATTTTTAATCCAATTTTAAGTAAATTCTTCGAAAAATGTAATTATTTTAAAAAATTTTATTACAATTTTTCGAAAGAAATCAATTATAAATTTTTTCTAAAAATTATTGCAAAAGTTCCTTGAGAATTTTGAAATCTAATTGTTTACAATTCAATTTTACGAAATTGCGATTATTCTGAAATCCTTCAATTAAATTATTTAAAAATAAAAACTTGAAATAATATAAAAAAAAATTCAATTAAACTTTTTCAAAAAAATTAATTCTACAGAATTGCCGGTTAAAAGTATGAATAATTTAAATTTTCAAAGATTTAAATTTGAAACCTTTTCAAAATTCAATTCTTTCTAAAAATCCACTCTATAATACTTTTAATATTCAATTATTATCTAAAATTTTAACTGAAATTCATTTTTAAATCAATTTTTATTAGAAAATTCTACGAGAATTCAAGTATTGGAATGGAAATATAAATAATTTTTGAATAATTGAATTCTTTCAAAGAATTTTAACGAAATTTTTAGAATAAATACATATTTCTAGAAATTTGATTACAATTGTATTAAAAATCATTGAAATTCTGGGATGAATTTTATTATTTATGAAATTATTTTAATGTTTGCTTAGAATTTTATCAAAATTTTTTTAAAATAATTGAATTCATTTGAAAAATTTTATTAAAATAGTAGATATTGAAAATTATTGAATTGAGGAAAATTTTTGAGAATAATTGAATATTTGACAAGAAATTTATTAAAATTTTTGAAAATAATTGAATTTTATTAATTTTTAAAGATAATTGAAATTTGGACGAGTTTTTTTTTAAATTTTGAACATAATTGAATTCCTGCAATCATTTGTAACTTCTTCAAAATTAAATTTTCTCCAGTACTTTAATAAAAATCCCTGACTTTTCAGATAAATTTGAAACAATAGTTTTAATAATTATACCTGAAGAACTTCGTCCCATTTAAGTTTCGATGTACCCTTCTTCTTTTTCGTAATTCCCTTCTTTTTGGCAAACTCCTCCCATTTCGTTAAGGGTTTCGGCTTTGGTACTTTACGTGCCCGAGGCAAAAGGAATGTGGCATTTGGTAATTTAGCGACAATCGCTTCTTCCACACGTTCCGTTGGTAATTCCCAAATTTTATTAATTAATAACTGTACATTATCTCGTGTTAAATTTCGCAAAAATTCCTCTGGATTCGAGCTGAAAATGAAAACGAAAAACATTTTATAAGCAAACGTTGCATCATATTTTTGATAATAAAAAATTAATAAATTCAATTAAACTAGAGACATTTTTGAAGATGAATTTAAATAAATACGTATTAAATTAATTCTACATATTGAATTATTTTATTTTATCATTACTTATAAAATAAAGAAAAGCCTTAAATAAAACAGATATTTAAAGTATGACATATTTGCGGTGCAATTTTGAGGTTACCTGAAACTTTTGTTGTCAAATACGTTATAGTCAGATGCCAAAAGAGTTCCTACATCAATATCGAGTTCAATATCTTTTTCGACTGTTATTTCCTTAATTTGATTATCATTTTTAGCTGACTTTTTTAATATTTCACTAACAATATCCATTGTTAAAAGAGTTAAAACAAAATGCACGTGTTGAAACTGGTATTTTCGATATTTTCTGTGTTCTTAATTTAAATTCACAAGTATGAATAACATGAGATGTCAACAAATTTCATTGGTTATGGAAAATAAATCTGCTTTACCGACAAATTTCTGCCAATAAGGGAAAAGTGAATAGCACTTAACATTGAAATAATAAAGCTGTAGTCGCCTTTCTTTGTGTCAGTTTTTTAGTCTATGCTTTAGAGAGTTGTCAGCTGAGCTGTCAGTTACCTGTCAAATATTCAATCTATGCTATTTAATATCAAGGATTTGCACCTTTCGCCAAGTAACTGGAAGTTTATTTTACCTCTTTAACCCATTACAGTTAACTAAAGAATGCAGATACATAGTTACGTACACAAATAAAAGATTTTCAATATCCGTGTAACAAGAATCAACGAATCATTCTTCATGCATCTGTGACTCAACTATTAATTTCTTTGAATTTAAATTCTATTTTATCTAATTAAATATCTACTTGGGTTTAACCCTGTGGATCTTTAATTCAATATGAGTTCTAATAAACATGTGAATGTGGCTATAATTCAAAAGTGAAAAAAGTTTCGTTTGTTAATTAACAAGTGATTTGAAATTAAATTTAAATTTTCATGTATAGAAAAAGTGCAATTCTTGATGATTATTAATTAAATGTTTTAAAAATATGGCAAGTGGAGGAGGTAGTAGTTTTATTAGTAAACCGGCCAGAGGTTGGTTACACCCTGATCATCTCGTTAGCAAGGAAGGAATTACCTATGCAGTTAGAGTAAGTTTTTAATTTTATTAAAAGAGAAAAACTGTTTTATGAAGAGAAGAGAGAATTGTCTTTTTTTTCTCTTTAATATTATTTAATTATTTATTTAATATTATTTGTTTAATTAAAATGATTGTTTACAGTATATTGGATGTCTCGAAGTCAACACGTCTATGAAGAGTTTGGATTTTGAGACGAGATCATGTGTAGCCAAGTAAGTTTTTGTTTTGCTTTTTTTTGTCTTACTGACAAGCACTGAAATTTAATTTATAATTGGAACTTCGACAACAGTTGATGTAATATTTATTATTTAATTTGCAGAGAATGTATAAACAGAGTGTGTGAAGCTGCAGGACTAAAATCAGCCGATAAAAAAAGGAGGGTCGATAGAAAAGTTTTGAGAGCAATATCAGACAAGCCTTGTATGGATCATGCAGGATCAAACATTGAATTGACCATAAGTAGTTGTAGTTTAACTTTAACGATACTTGAAACTGATCAAGTAATTGCTAAACATGAAATGCCTCGCATCTCCTTCGCCTCTGGTGGTGATACGGTAAAAAACATCCCATATTTTAAAACTTACTTTAGATTTCAAACAATTTAAGTTACTTACCCTTTTTAAATTTTTTTTTTAGTTTTCCCTGGAAAAGTTATTATTTTTCGATCTATTTATAATTTTATAATATGAATTTACTATCTTTTGATAGTAATTTAATTTAATTTGCAATATTTTGATAGTAATTTAATTTAATTTACTATCTTTTGATTTTAATTTAATTTACTATCTTGTTATCTTTTCTTATTTATCAAAATTGATCATTTGCGAGTGATTAATGATGAATTAATTTTCAATTTCCAGGATATTTTAGACTTCGTTGCTTACGTGGCGAAAGATATTAAAGAATGGCGAGCTTGTTACGTTCTAGAATGTGGAGGCGGTTTGGCACAAGATGTAATATCAACAATTGGACAAGCATTTGAACTCAGATTTAAAGAATTTCTCACCAAACCTTCATCACTGCAGTGAGTAAAATTTCCAGTTTTTCTTTTTTTCGTTTCGTTTTTTTTTTTCATTGAAAATGAAAAATTTATTTATTATTAACAATCATTTTGTGTGTGTAAATTTAGCCCAGCATTAAATGGTTTACGGGAGGCAGACAGAGATTATTACAATGATTTGCCTGGAAAAGTCCCACCCGATATAGGACCACCTCCAGTACCTCCACTACCAATTTCTGCATCAACTTTGCCAAATTTAAAACATCATCATTCCAATCATAATCATGCGGGTAGCAGTATTCAAAATACACCATTACCAGATCCAACATCTAGTAATTGTATGAAACAATCTCAACATTGGTCAGGTAATAGAAAACTTTTGCCTTAAAATTTAATTTTTATTTATTACATCAAAGAAAAGTGTATTATTATTATTATTATTACTCTAATCATAATATTATTTTTCAATTTAATAATGTTCAATTTAAAAATTCTATTTTCAGAATCAGATAATTTAATAGACTTGAGTTCAGATTCCCTTCCATTGCCTTCCAATTATAATGCGCCCGAGCACAATTACGTAAATGACACAATCATTGCTGCAAATAAGGAGAGTCGAAGAGAACCAGTTACTTTCTTTGACGCCTTTGATATGCGTAAGATTATCTTTCTAGATTTCAATATTATTGCCTTATTGATTTTTAATCTGTAGAATCTTTGTTAATTTTTGATAATTTAATTTTTATTATTATACTTTTTTGGAAATTAAATAAAAGAAATTATTAATTTATTATTAAATTTTAAAATTAAATTTGACGCGTCCAGAAGATATGGACCTGAGAAGCAAAAAATTTTGAGTTATGTTTGTAAATTCTAAAAATATATTCTTTAGTTATTACTATTTACAATTTGAATAATATGTTTCAGAACCTTTTTGTACTGCCATATCGGAAATAATCAAATTGAGTCCCGAATCACAAAAACATCAATTAAAACAGGAAATTTGGTTTCATGGTAGTGTCAGTAGATTTGAGGCCGAATCTATGCTCTCCAGGGTGTGTTGTCATTTTATTCTTTCTCCCGTTTCTTTTTTTTTAAATGAAAATACAATTTAATAATTTGTATTTCCTTTAGGATGGGGATTTTCTAGTTCGTGAATCTCAAGGCTCACCCGGTCAATATGTGTTAACTGGCATGAATAATGGAACTCCAAAACATTTATTACTGATAGATCCTGAAGGAGTTGTAAGTGTTTAATTATTTTCTTTGAATTTAAAAATTTCTATTTATTTCTCTATTTGTTAATTTATTTTTTCGAATTAACAAATTTATGGTATTTATTCAGGGTTGCCAACAAAAAATTTAATTTTGTTTTTCTCTGATTTCCAGACAGAATTTTGTCTTTTTCCCCGTCTCTCAAAACTATTCCTACTTCACTTTGAAAATGATTCAAGTACTTTTAACAAAATTCCCTGACTTTTCCTTGAGTTCCCTGATTTCCCTGATCTGTGGCTACCCTGTTATTTCTAAATACCATAAAAAATATTGAAATATTAATAATTAATATTTTTAAAGGTACGCACAAAGGATCGTGTATTTGATAGCGTAAGTCATTTGGTGAATCATCATTGCGACCATGCTTTACCAATAATATCTGCAGATAGTGCTTTGGTGCTTCGGTATCCCGTCCCTAGACGTACCGCATTTTAAAAAAAAGCTTCTCAAAACAAAAAAGTAAGCCACTAATTTTACAGAATTTTTATGCAAAACGTCATGACAGTTTTTTTTTAAAGAACAATTACAGGGAATAACAGTTTAATATTCCACTTTCAGAATTATTCAATTTGCATAAATATAGAGAAATATGTGAAAGGAATTTATAGCATTTTCATCATAACACATATTATGTGTATTTAAATTTAAATATTAACTAGGAAACAATTGAAAAAAAATATTCATACAGCAATTTTAAAAAATACTTCTTAATTGACGTGTCTAAAAATTTATTTTTATTACTTTTTTATTTATCGCAAATTTTTTATACGAATTAAATTGTATTATATACTCGAATATTTTCTTCTTTTTTTCAAAGAGAAATTTATTCTATTTTTTTAAGATTATTTTTTAAAAACAAATAGTGAATTTTGATAGAAGAAATTTCAAAATGTTGATATTGATAAAATTTTAAATGAGTTTAAATTATTTTTGAATTCAAATAGGAAAAAAAACCAAAGTCTACCAATTATAATGCGACTTTAATCTCTGTTTCGACCAAATATTATTTTTATCATGTTATATATTTTGTGATTTCAACGATTTTTTTAGCAAAATAAATATGTGATTAATAATTAAATTTTAATACGAAATTATACATTTACATACTAAAATTTATACATATTTACCATTTAAATAATCGATGGCTTTATGTATTAAATTCGTCTGGAAGTTGATAGTAAAAAAAGAAAAGAATTGCAGTTTTATTACTTGTTTGTTTTATTTCCATAATAAAAGAAAATATTCTTAAACCCTGACATTTGAAAATAATAATTGCCTTCTAAGGATGAAAAACTATAAGAATATATTTTCGCTCTGCAGTCATTTTTCTTTTTATCACAAATATTCGTTAAAGTTATTTAACAAAAATCTCAATTGTTATACAATTATACAGTCATTTTTCTACTCTAGAGTTAAACCATATTTTTTTAAAAATATTATTGAAAATGACAAAAAAAAATACAGTCTAACTCTATTAATAAAATATTTTTAAATCTCATTTAATCGAAAATTTTTAAAAATTGTGATAACGAGATAAAAAAATATTTTTTGAACAATCATTTTACTGACTATTGAACACGTGTCAATTACTTCAAATCATTATTTATAATTCTTATAAAATTTATATTCTCAATATAAATCTATAATTATATTTTAAAATGTTTATATACATATTGTTGTATATCGTAAATATTCAATATTTACAAATTTTATTCAACATATTTAGTTGATTCATATGTTTAAATATTTTTGATCAATGTTTTCATTTTTTAATTTTTTTCTAAAGACATTTAAAAACTATAAAATCGCAAGAAGAAAAAAAATTGCCACACGTTTGTAAATTAGAAAAAAGTATCTGAAAAAATACTTATACAAAATGAAATGCTTCACGCATAAACACAATAGTTAAGAAATCTTCATTTAACATTGAAAAATTACGCGTTTTCTTAACTTTCGGGCAGAAATAAAGAAAACAAGAAACTAATTTACTTCCCTATTACATAATTTATGTTTCTAGCATACACACTATTTGTTATTCGAAAAGAAAAGTTTTAAGATAAGAAAAACTAAAGTAAAGATTCTATTTTTGGCACAATTTTTCTTTTTGTTTTGTATATTATTATGTAATAGCAAAGTAAATAAATTTCCAAGTAAGTCTTGAATATCACTTTGTGATTAAATGTTGAGAAAAATTTTCGTTTTTAAATACCTGCTATGTTCATTAAAAAAATGTTTTAACCTTGATTAAGTCCCGATCCGTGGAGTTCTATGAAACTTTCCAAAGATTGTGGTACAGTGCCGCAGTAAGATAAATTATATGTTTTTACTACTTTTGCAGCCATACACTTCAACGATAACTTTGTTTGCGTTCTTAATATTATTTCAGCAACACCTGAAAATTTAGAATTATTTATTTCACTTTAGAAAATTGACACATTTTAATTAATTAATAGCATTTTCAAAAAATGCAATTTAAAAAAAAAAATTTTATAAAATACTAAGCAAGAATTCAATTATTTTTATAATTGAATATTTCATAATTTCTGAATAAATTTTATAAATGTTAAATTCAAAAACCTGTTGTTGCGGCGTCATAAGGCGTTTTTCCTTGACTATTTACAGTATCCATATGTGCTCCAGCTTCTATCAGTGCCATTATAATTGCGTGTAACGTCAAAAAATCACTACGTGAAAAAATTTTAATTTAAATTTCAGATGAATATTTAAATATTATTATTATTATTAAAATATTATTTGGCCTAAATTATTATAAAGTACGACAATTTTTCGACAAATTGACAATTTATAATGATTAATTTTAAAGACAAAAAAAAATACCTTATAGGTTTTTCGTAATTGACAATAACATGAAGAGGAGTATTTCTTTCGCCGTCCATTGCATTGACATCGGCACCACATTGGATTAACAATAACGCTGTACTGGCACAAGGAAATCTGTGAAGAAATATAAAATAAATACAGTACACTTGACATTTTATTTAAAAAAAAATCGATAATTAAACTCACTTGCAAACATCGTTTGTATGAAAATCGTCAACTGGAGTTTCGGCATTAACGGCAAGATGCAAAATAGTTTGACCATCTCGAAGTGTAGCTTTAAGTGAGCATAATTTATGCACCAAATAGTGTGCTTTCCTTAAATCTATTTTGTCCTTGTCTCTTTCATTCAGCGTTATTAATTTCGTTAAAATTGCCAATATGTACAGAGTTGTTGTAATATTCGATTCCATTTCATCCTAAATGATAAAAATACAATATTTAAATCTACAATTTTTTAGGCTTCAATAAATTTTGTTTAAATTTTGTTTCTTATTTTATCGTAGAGAAATAATTTTAAGTAGAAAAAATGTGACTCACTTTACTTACGATAGACTGATCAACATCGTCTTTTGGCTCTGGATTATCAATTTTTGTTTTATTTCTTTCAATTTCAGTGACACTCGCTTCTAGGACATTTAAAACTTGAGTAAATTGTAATTCAATGCCCACGTGAATCATCTGCGAGAATACCTAAAAGAAAATTTTTAAAAATAATTAATTTTAATTCAAATTTTTGAAAATTTGAATTTTTCATTTTTTACAATTTTGGAGAATTAATTTTTTTGGAAAAAGTTTAATTGAATTTTTTTTATATTATTTCAAGTTTTTATTTTTTAGTATAATTATATTTAATTATTTTTAAAATGAATCAGATTATTCTTTAGAATCAGGGAAAAAGTTAAAATTTTTTCTAAAAATCAGAGTAAAGTTCGGACAAAACAAAATTAAATTTTTTGTGGAACAACAGACTATGAATAAATAGATTATTTACTTGAGCAAATCTGAGAAGATCTTTGACCACGGAAATATTGTTTAACTGCCTCAAGTGTAATGCACGTAGCCACAAATCGATGCATCTATCAAAACGGGCAGCATCCGCAAAAACAGCTCCTCTATAAACAATCGGATGTGGCACTTCTGGATTATGTGTTCCTAAAACAAACATAGAAATTAATCGCACTATGAAAAATAAATATTCTTTCATTTTGTAAGTTTTATGCCAAATTTCATTAGTGAAAAATAATTTTTCTCAACAAAAGTATAAATAAATAAAGGATAAAAATAATTCCCATCGAAATAGAGAATATTACCTAATATTCTTTCTCTAATAACCAACGATTCCATATGAAGGGAATTTGGATCGAGTCTTATATTCAATAATTCCGTTAAGTCTTCACACTCTCGCCAATTTTCATAAGCCGGCACTGGCTCACTTCTCTTTTTACGTATTATATTATTTGGATCACTGTACCTGGAAATGAAACAAATAGATGAAATATATCAAAAATAAAATATCTTTAAAAAAAAGTTTAACTTAAGTTAATGTTATTTTTACACATAAATGATTCTTTTTAATTATGTAAATTTGAAAATAGTTTTTATAAAAATATTCTATAACGAATATTTTACCTCAAGGACATGGCTTTGTTCAAATATAAATTCGCCAATCTGAGGCAATAATTATCCTTGTCATTAGCATAGGATGCTCCCAGTAATTCATAGGCATCTATAATCTCTTCCTTGGTAACTTTCTCCCTTGTCACTAAATACTCGACAATATGTCTCCTCGTTCTCTCGGCGGCTACCATCAACGGTGTCATTCCACAAATATTCTTTGTCATTTTCGTTCCATGATTCAATAATTCAATTACTACTTTATAATGATTGCATTCTGAGGCAAAGTGCAAAGCCGTTGCACCACAATGTGCCCGTTCGTTTGGATCTGCACCGTTTTCTAAAAGAAAACTCACCTGGTTTAAAAAAGAAAATGTTTTTTAAAAAAAATGCGCACAGTACTACAAACTTGAATACTTAATTATTAACAGTAAATTATTAAATTTAATCTGATATTGTTTTAATGCAGATTTATCAATTTAATGTAATTTTCAAAAAGTGATTATCAACTCAAAAAGTGATTATATAACAATAATATAATTTATTGTATTCTGTTTAATATACTAACGACGTGGTGGTGTCCCTTGTAAGCCGCGATCATTAAGCAAGTATTATTGTACTTATTAGCGATGTGAATATTTGCTTGATGTTCGGCTAAGTATTTGACAATATCTAATCTCCCACTGAAGCAAGCAGCTCTCAAAGGTGTAGAATTTGTTTTTGTTGGATGATTAACATCCGCTCCTGCTTTAACAAGCGTCTTGACAAGGCCCAAATGTCCAGTACCTGAAACAAATTGAAAAAATAAAATGAAGAATAAAATTAATTTATTTTCAGGCATCACAGTATCTTTTATCCTCCATAAAGGTGAAAAGAGAAATTTTTTTTATCAAAAAGGGGACAAAAAATATACCAAACAACAAATTAAAATGTGTTAAAAGTTATATTATCAATATCAAATGTAGATATTAAAAATCATTGAAGTGAGGACAATTTTTGAAAATAATTGAAGTTTTGCCATTGATTTTATTAAAATTAAAAAAAAAAGGAATTTTATTATTTATAAAGATAATTGAAATTTTGACAAGAATTGAAAAATATTTTTGAACATAATTGAATTTCTGCAATCATTCGTAATTTCTCCAAAATTCAATTTTTACATCCCCATCACATGAGAAGGTTATTAGTTTTTTTTTTAGTGTTTTTAACTAAAATTCTTCTATTACACTTTGAAGAAGATTTCAAAAAGAAAAAACTATATGCGATGCCTGTATATTTTGCAACAATATTAATTACCTGCAGCACACCAAAGAGCGCTTGCCCCTTCAATAAAAAATTCATCAAATTTAACAGTTCCCTGCGCTTCTAAATCGGGTTTAAATTTATCCAACAACATTTTAACAACCCGATGATTACCATAACGGGAAGCAACTATTAAGGGTGTACATCTTTGTCCATCATCTTGTAGTACTGTCTGAAAGAAAAGAAATTATTCAATATTTCAATTTCTTGAAGTGAAAAAAAATTGGAACGTTTTATTTTCATATATATATATATATAGATTCATAGACGTTATTTATAAACGTGTTTCGAAAAAATAAATTCACTTAATTAATCTCTTTTTATATAAATTAATTTCTATAGTTCTTTGTTCCTTTGAACCTTTGTTTGAAAATTTCTACGTAGACATTACTGGCAGTTTGCCAAAATAAGAAGCCAACTGAGAGTTCAGTTACACGTGCGTTGCTTCTTTTTTTTTTAAATATCTCTTCCAACAAGATCACTAACATGCGACAAAGTGATGGAGACCAAATAAACTGATTAAATTTTAATTTTTTGTTCTATTTATAGTCAGAAAATGGTTAGAAAACAAAAATCGAAGATGATTGAACTAACAAAAGATATAACAAAGAAGGTTAAATTTATATTATTTAATATGAACGTTGATCAAAGAAAAAAATTTGTTTAAAGTGTTCAAATATTATTTTTAATAAATATACAACAATTATTCTTAAAGCATTAATACAAATTTTTCTTTTTTTATTTTTGTGCTAAATTATTACGTTATCACTGAATAATAAAATTTTTTTAAACAAGTTTTTTCGTTCATAAACGTTGTGGACTTCAACTTGGCTATATTAATATTTAAACTTTAAAGTGATAAAATTATTCTTATTTCAGGCTAATTTCTTTAAAACAAAAATGTGTAGTTTTAAAGAAATATAAAGAAGAAACAAAGAGAAAACAAACAAAACGAACCAAAAGTTAAAATTACACGTTTTCGTCACAAAATTAAAAAGAAAATCGTAAACAAGATCAAAGGGCTTAATGATTGATGAGTTATTGATGTTGACAAAAAAAAATGACGTTTTACCTGATTGATGAGACAGTTAATTTGTTCTGGAGTTTGTTCGCTGAGAAGAGCGTAAAGTGTAATTGCCATTCCATCTCTAGCTGCATAATAAACCCGATTCATAAGTGAAACACTGACATTAGTTTTTTCAGCCATTTCAAGGGTTGATTCAGTTTGAAATGTCATGGTCATGGTTCCTCACTTTATAATATAAATCAACACTTTATACTTTCTCCAACGAATCATTCCTTCAGACTGATAACCTCAAAAAATTACTCTCGCCGCCCCATTTAAGCTATAAATATACTCAAACTATATAGCTAATATCAAACACAACTTGATATATACATGTGCGTTTCGAGAGAGAGAATATTCACATGTAAAAATCTTATTGAACTTGCCTCTACTACGAAAATAGACAATGACTTGTACCAAATTCGTGCCAAGATTAATTTTCCTCCTGTTTCTTTTTAGACTAAATCAAATATATGTATATATAATAAATTTCAATTTTAAATACACCAGAAAAATTCCCAAAAAGAAAGGAAATTATAATTTCATTAATAAAATAGTGTTTTTTTTTCCTTTTGGATCAAAACGATTAAAACGAACTTTTCTTTGCAGGGTAGATATTAATTCTTTTCTATAAATAAAACTCATCACCATTTGTAAAATATGTATAAAAATTAGGTACACTTTTTTAAGTGTAGAGAATTAACTGCTAAATCACTTATTTGTTCGTATACTTAAAAATCCTATCTGAGATTATGTGCAAACGCAAAAATAAACAAAGTCAACAAAGTTAATGACAGATGTTTGTATTGTTCCTTGAATCATGAAATTTGTCTGAGTCTTCGATTCAATTATACGTAGTATTTTTTGTTTCTATATTAATTTACTTCCACTAATGTTTATTTTAACTTTAACCGCGTGTAAATAGTTTAAAATTATACTACAACAATAATGAAGTATTTAATAAATTTAAAATTACATTAATCAGTTCCTGTATCCTGTTTTATCAATTTGAAAGCAGATGGCGCTGGCAAAATTTAGCGCCACCTGCAGACAAACTGTGGAAGTAGGTTTAAAATTAATATTTTATTTACAACAAAACCAGTTTAATGAGTTTATTGTTAAGTAATATTAGACTATTCAAATGTTTGTATATTAAAGTAACGAAATGGATGAAATACCAACATTTAAATATATCTCAAATATTAATTTACAGAAATATTTATTTTAACAATAAAGTCGTCTGCTACAGAAACAGCTGATTGCTGTCTGCGAACATTTTTAGGTTACGTTCGTCCTTAAAGTCTTGTTTTTATTGTTCTTATTTTACAATTTGTTTATTATTAATGAAGTTCTAAACTTTCAAAAGTTACATCAATTAATTAACTTCGTTTTAAATTATAAATAAAAATTTACTATTTGTAAACTATGCCCGAATCCTCTGTCAAAATTGCGAACAAAACTGATGATGACATAGACGACCCACTTGACCGCATGTTAAAAAAAACAGGATGCATGGAATTGCATTTTAAAGTTCAGGTGAAAATATTTATTCAGTAAATATTTATGTTCTTTTTAAATATATGTTTGATTTTTATTAAAAATCTTGCACTACCTATAAATTTGTAATTACTTTTTTACTATTACAAACTTAGGAACGAAATTTTCTATTATTAAATTCAGTGAATAATATTAAACATTAAAAATATTAAATTTGTAAACATTTTAAACATAAATTATTGAAATTACCGAATGATAAACATTTTTATGCTAAATTCCTTTCCTTAATGAATAAATTAACAAAACTAAACCAATTTTAGGAGTGCATAGCAGAAACACAAGATTGGAGAAAGTGTAAAGATCAAGTGAACACATTTAGAACTTGCATGGAGGAGTATCAACGAAACAAGGAAAGAAAATAATGGCATTAATTGTAAATAAACTAAAGTCCCTCTTTAAAGATCAATTTCGATCAATGATATTGGACTGTAAAATGGTTATAGTAGTTCGTACTGATATTCCAATGGGAACAGGAAAAATTGCAGCACAATGTGCTCACGCTGCCGTGCAATGTTGTCAGGAAGTTATTTCGATAAAAGCACATAAACAAGCTTTTAATTCTTGGTTATTACTGGGTCAACCAAAAATTGTAGTTCAAATTCCCAGTGAAAAATTACTCTTAAATTTAGCCGACGAAGCCGCCAAGGCAGGTCTTCCTTTTGCAGTAATAAGAGACGCTGGTAGAACACAATTAGAACCTGGCACTATTTCCGTTTTAGGAATTGGACCCGCACCTAAAGAATCTGTCAATAAAATAACTTCGTCATTAAAATTACTGTAAGACTTCAAAATAAACACCTAGGTTTAAAAAAAAATTTAGTTTTTTCAACAGGGTTGCAAGAAAAATGTAATTTTGTTTTTCCCTGATTTCCAGACAAAATTTTGACTTTTTTGCTAAATCCTAAAGAATATTCTGATTCACTCTAAAAATTATTAGATATTCAAAAAAATGTTCTATTACTATTCTATCACTATTACTATTCTATTACTATTCTATTACTATTTATGAAATTAATTTAATTCCTAAAAAGAATTTTATTACCTATTTATTAAAATAATTAAATCCTTGTAAAAAATTGAATAATTGCGTAGAAATTTATAAAAAATTTTGGCATTGCTTTACAAATCAAAATGAAAATACTTATTTTCTTGGATATTTAGTTTATTAATTTGTTCACATATAAAAGGAAAAACATTCTCCATTCGAAGTATAAACGTACAGTATAAACATATACAAATTAATACTAAAAACAATTAAATTGATTTAGATGATTCATTTTTTTTCTTACATATATTATGTCGAGCATAAAAAGAATCGCAAATTTTTCTTTTTACTCCTAATAAATTAAGAATCGTATATAAATTAAAGTCAAATCGTAAATCGAAGTCAATTACGAACAAAACAACAAAAAGAAAATTGAACTTTTTCTTACATTTATATGAGATACAATATTTTGCATATTGTGCGAACACTTTTAACAAGATCTTTTAAAAGAATTTACCTCTCACAATCTTACTTTCTCAATATTATACTTTCTGTATTTTATTTTTAATCGTTGCACATATCACTTTTCGATGAATTTTAGAATTTGAAAATTGAATTAAATGAATTTTTACAATTATTACTTCTAATAATAATTATAAATTAGAGAATTATTAGAATTTAATTATTATGAATTATATAATAAATAATACAAAAAACGTAACAATTATGGCATCACGTAAATTAATTGCGTTACACACTTAGCTATTAAAAAAATTTTCTAAATTTTTTAAATTTAACACTAGAGCTTAAAACTAAAAATTTTGAGCAGTGAAAATTCTATTTCCGTTAAAGCTTTGTACATATTTCATTCACTTTTAAAATTCTATTGCACATGCTCATTAAAATTTATATTATATGCAGTATTATTAGAATATTAATATGATAAAAAAAGAGAAAAAAAGAGAAGTTTAAAATTCTATGAGTGTCTTGGTTTTTTTATCGAGTGCTCAAATATTCTACTAAACATACATTTTCAGATGCCTTACATTTAGTTTTACCTTTTTTTTGAGCATCATATATAGTTTAATAAAGTGTTTATAAAATACTTCGAGTTATTCTATTACTTTGTGATTAAAAATGTTTCTAAAACATTTATCACTTTTAAAATATATACGAGAAACGAACAGCGAAAAATTAGCAGTCAAAATCATATTTTGACAAAAAAAAAAACAAAAATTATACAAAAAGTTTTGTCCTGTCATGAAAACTATATCTTCTTAACACTGTACAAATATTTCCAATTTAATTTTCATTAAAGATTAATCCTGCACTATTTACGTTCTCTTTCAATGATTAATAGTTATAGAAATACAATGAATAAAATATCGTTTTATCATTTCAAATATTTAATATTTATTTAAAATCAAAAAAATGATAAATCTTTCATTTGAAAATTATTAATTATTGAAAATTTAAATTAGTTTAATTATTAAAATTGGATTTACTGAAATAAAATTTTGTATTATAGTTTTGTTTTAAAATTTTCTAGTAATGATAAATGTGGGAAATTTCATGTATTTATACATGAAGAACATCTATTTTTATAATACTTTGTAGATTACGATAGAAGATATACAAAGATCATTAGTAAAAGAGTGTACAAGATATTTCAGTCTCAAATAGCACAGGTTAAAGTCTTTCCTATTACTTCCTACATGTTTCACTGTTTGGCAAATATTCATCACATTTCTTAATCATTTAATTTTTTTTTTTTTTTAAATGTACAATTAAAATCTCTTTACCTGGAATCACACATTATTTATGCTATGACTTTACTTAATTCCGATGGTTCCACATAATTATTTAACACATGTGGCGCCTCATTGAATTCATCAAGTTCATCGCCATTGTCAGCGCCTTGCGCCAATAGGAAATATTGTTCGCTTCGTGTTGGCCACAATAAATGTGCCATCACACAATACGCAAAACAGTCAGCGGAATACGTGATACCTGTAAAAATTAATTTATTTTTTTAATATTTTGTATTATTAAATATTTATCTAAAAAAAGCTAGTCAAAATTTTATCTGCGGAAATCAGGGGAAAAAATCAAATTTTTATAGTAACTCCATATAGTAAAAATTTACTATTTAAAAGATTAAATGAAAATAAAGAAGAATACTGACCTAGTAAAAGTTTGAACCTCCAAAGCGCACTAACTTGAAGGGCAATAAGTGCGATGATTGGAAGATAAATGAACCAAACGAGTGACGATGCACCAAAGTGAAGGAGGAAATTTAATTTTTGAGTATTATGCTCGTACGTCATTGTATTCCGCAATTCAAACAAAAACCAAATCATAATGATACTGCGAAATAGGAGAATAAACCATCCGGGCCATGTTTGATACTCATCAATATCCTCAATAATGTCGACTTCCGTCTTGTAAAAATAAATCAAATTAACATCTTTCAAGATTATATATTGCAATATAATAAAATATTAAACAACTCTTACCATATTCCAAACATAGAGCATAATATGTACAATCCCGTAAAAGAGCCAAATTGTGAAAACTAACGGTTTCCATGTTAATTCCATTCTCGTAACTGCCCATCCTTTGGCCAGTAGAAGCAACAACAGCATAAAGGAAGTCTGAAAATTAAAAAGATGATAAAACTATAAACATCATTAATTATAACTGTAAACTATAAACTATATTCACATCTAAATTAAAATTTAACTTAAAATAAAACAGGGCTCGAACTAGTGAAAGTATTTAAAAATACGGACTTTACGGGAAAAAAATGAAAAAAAAAATTTACGAAAAAGTTCTTTGACAATTTTCAATTATTAATTATTTTTAAAAATAATTGAAATTTTGACGAGAATTTAAAAAACTTTTTTGAACATAATTGAATTTCTGCTAAGAATTTTATTACTTTTGAAAATAATTGAATTTCTGTAATGATTTGTAATTTCTCTAGTTCGTGCCCTTTTATTAATTGAAATAAGTATTTGAAGAAAATATATCATACCCTTGAGAGAATATCAAAAATATCCCCTGCGGCTTCGAGTTGTTCGTAACCAACGCCATCGAAAGCGAATTTAATTTCATGAATAACAATTAAACACAAGGCTATGAACTCCAAAAGTAAACTCGCTGTAAATAATCTCGTGACTGGATGCTTTTGTAATCTTACTGCATACATTTGTAATGGCACTAATATGACGTAGCACAAAAAGAACAGTAAATAGAGTTCTATTGTATTCTGTCGATCATAGGAAAATTGATAACTAAAGGTATTTAAACTACTTGTATTTGGATTCCCATTCACTAGCCAAATATCATAATCAAGTTTTACATTTTGTTCGTAATGCTCCCATTTACATGTTGTCATGTTTCGATAACACGACACTAAACTAATGTACCAAAAATTTGGTTGCCACACATTTTCAATAGTAAATGTAAACTGATGATTCTTTATCACGTTCCAAGGTTGCTCCTCCTCGTCTATACACAATTTTTCCTTCGGACATGGTACACGTCTAGAAAAAATTTTATTAGTTATTAAAAGATCAATTTTAATTAATTTAAATATAAAATTAAAAAGATTACCTCAAAAAATCTTGACCCTCCTCGTTGCACTTAGAATCATAAGAACTTTGATTTAACGTATGAAACATCATTTCACAAGCTCTACTTTTATCACGAATGTCACGATTATTATAGTACTCTAAAAAATGATCTCGATCTAGAACAGCCAACGTGACAGGCACCGAGAGTTTCGATTTTGAGGTTATATTCCCAAAAATATAACCATAAGTTTCTCTCTGTCGATGTTGATCTGTTTTTTGAAAGCCAAATTTATTGAGAAATCGAAAAAATTCCTTAGTCTCAAAAGTTCCACTAATATGAGTAGCCATGACCATTGGAAATTGACATAAAAATAAAAAACATAACAAACACGACAATAATTGAGCTACTGTCAAATATTGCATTTTGGTGCTTTTTCCCTTCTGGACGAATTAATTCTGAATTTAAAAACTTCTGTCAAGACAGAAATTGCAAAAGACTTTTTAGATTCTTTCTCATTTCTTATAATCGAGGTCCTTGTGAAATTGGATCCTCAAATGCGTATAACTTTCACTTCATAAAATGTCGAACTCTTTGACACTGTTTTTCCAAACAATCCACATAAGGAACTGTTAAATATTTCCAACATTAAATTATTGTTTCAATAAATCTTCTTTTCGATTGTTAATAATGTTGACAAAATATTTATTAAAGCACTGATTAAAATGTCACTTTCTTATTGATTTTTTCCCCGCCCATTGGGGCACTGTAAATTTCACTTTCTATTATATCACGATGTCTTGCAACGTGTTATGAACGTATTTAATATATATTGGACAGAAAACACGACAATAACATTAGGACTGTTTCTTTTTTATTCTGTATATATGTAGATATTAGATAAGAACATTATTTTCTTTTCTTGTTTTTGTTTTCTTGTGATGAATAAAGAAAGACACGTCTTATGTCATTTCACACAAACTATTCCACGTGTTATTTATCAGTGGCGGTGAATTAAAATGAATAGATTTTCTCATAATTAGATAATATTTTCTACACAATATCCTTATTGTCATCTTCTTTTATCAATAAAACAATGTGGATATACAAAAGTCTTTTTAAATGACAAGTGGTCGAACATTATTGTTACCTAACCTAAACGATTTTGACACTGACACATAACCTAATCTGACAATGGAAAAGCGATATAGGTATCGATTGCATTCTGCTCTCGATACTTACTTCCGGTATTTGAATTCGAATATAAAATATTTCAAGCAAATAAAATAAAATAATGGGAAAACAACTAAAAACAAGAATTTATAGTATATTAGAAGTAGTAATTAGTTGTTTGATTAAAGAAAACAATTTTCGAAGACTATTTTTTGTATTTTTGTTGTAAAATAATAAATAAAGTGAATAAAGGAAAATCGTTTTTAAGTTTTAAATCAATGTATCGATATTTGTTTCGATTATATCTTTCGTCGATAACAACCACTTCCGGAATTTGAAATTTAAAAAACTAATTTTCAATCTTAAAAGTGTTTCATTTTCAAATTTGTTCAAATTATTGCTAAATTGACATTTAAATAATTTTTATTTTCTTAAATTGTTACTGCATTAATTAAAGTAATAATTAAAAATAATAATTAAAAAATTTTTAAATTAAATGAATTTATCGGATTTAAATTATTTAAATACATAAATAAGAAGAAACTCAATAAATTAATGTTGTTGTTGCTTTTGTCACTAAACAATTGTTTAATATTTTTATTAAATTAAATTTTTTACTAATAAACAATAATAATTTATTACTTGTTTGTAATTTTTAAAAAAAATTATTATTTCTTTATTATTATTATTATTTTTATACTTATTATTATTGTTTTAAAAATTATTGATTTATAATTTATTATTTATTAATTATTTATTAAAAAATTTATTTATTATATGTAATGTATTTTTTATTTATTATAATTATTATTTTTTAATAATTAAACAATAATTCAATTTCTTTTAAGTTGAAGGAAAAAGTGTAGACATTTTTTTAATACAAAAAAATTGATTTAAGATTATTTAATTTGTTTTTTGCAAAAACAATTGAAATATTTAAAATTTAAAGTTATTAATTTTATTCAAATTCAATTTAAATGAAGGAAGATTAAATTTAAATAAATAAATTAATTTAAAAAAAAATTAATTCAATTAAATTAAAAAAACAATATTTTAAGAAAAAAAATATTTTTAATTTAATTGAATTATTTTAATTCACTCTCTAAATTTTAATTAGTAAAAATATTTACTAACTTGGATTAGTTACTGACTTTTTGGTTCTTAATTAGTAGATTTTACTAATAAATTATTAGAAATTACTATTTATTAGTAAAATTTACTAATTTAGTAAAAATTTTTACTAATTCGAATTTTTGACTGATTTTTTGATTTTGAATTAGTAAATTTTACTAATAAATTATTAAAAATAACTATTTATCAGTTGAATTAATTCAACAACATTTTATTAATTAAATTAATTAATTTGCTATTGAATTAGTAAATTTTTCAAATTTCAATAAATTATTAGAAATTACTATTTATTAGTAAAATTTACTAATTTAGTAAAAATTTTCACTAATTTGAATTTTTGACTAATTTTTATAATTTTAAATTAGTAAATTTTACTAATAAATTATTTTGGTTAAATGAAGAAGATTGGATATGTAATCTATGTAAGGAAGGTTGGGGTACTTTTGAACATTTACTACTAGAATGTGAAGTAACAAAACAATGGACCGAAGGATTTTTGGAAGGTGTGAATGATAAAATTAAGGTATTAACAAATGAAGATGGTAGGATAGAAGTTAGTAGAGTTTTTAAGCATATTGTAAAACAAATAAAAGTGAAAGAATAATGGATGAAAGGAATGGATAATAATATGTAAAGATGGGTGTAAATTCATGTAAGGCAGTGACGTTAAATGTAATGTATATATACGTGTGAATTATTGTGAACGTAAATTTAAATATGATATGATATAATGTAAAATAATTGTAAACCAAGTCCGTTTCTGGGCCAATAGGCTGAAATAAAGATATTATATATATACTAATAAATTATTAGAAATTACTATTTATTAGTCGAATTAATTTAACAACAAATAATTAATTTATTATTGAATTAGTAAGTTTTTCTAATAAATTATTAGAAATGACTATTTATTAGTAAAATTTACTAATTCAAAATAAAAAAAATAAGTCAAAAATTCAAATTAGTAAAAATTTTACTAATTAAAAATAAATAATTAAATGTTTAATTGGCAAATTTATAAAAATTAATTAAATTTTTAATAATGATAAAATAATAAAAATCATATAATAAAAAAATAACAATATTGTTATTATTATTATCATCATTATTATTAAATAAAAAATAAGAGTACAAGAAAATATAATGAATAAATAATAAATAAATAGAGAGACAGAAAGCGATAGTAGACGATTGAATTTAATTAAAGTGCAAAATAAGTGAATAAATATCGAAATATTTAAATAAATTTTTCTGTAAAAAGAATTTCTTTTATTTTGCGTTTTTGGAAAAAAAAGAAACTATTGTCATAGGTCTGGGGAATTCCCCGCTCATTTTATATTTCACCTTGCAGGGAGATAGAGAAAGAGAGTAGAAGGTATAATAATCCAGTGCAAGGTTCTATTATTCTTTGGGTGCCGCACAGGTTGAAAATTTTTGCTAACGGGGAAAGTGTAAGATTTTGAGGGAAAAATAAATTTTTCGTGTATTGGCATAGTAATTTAGTCGTGGGAACACGGTACAGTCGACGTACTCACCGAATTGCTAAATAAGGAAGACACATCTGGAAACGATTTTCATGCCATAAAATTTTTGGTACCTGCTGAGCGTTTACATTGAACACTCTCAAGAGGATCATTAAAGGTTTTATTTCCTCTCAGAAAAATTTACAACAACCTGTATATAGGAAATTTTTCTCTTTCTGAAACCTGCCCGTATATATATACATATTTATTTATATACACACATATATATATATATATATACACACCTTGTCTAAGAAATATCACACCTTTTACATTTCTAGGATTTTAATTTTACCTGCTGTGTAAAAAAAATTTTTTTTTTTATTTCAAAATAATGTAGACGAATTCAAAATAAGGTGCAGGGGAAAATGAATGTTATGATGAACTGCGAGGAAAAAAGTGGTGCATTCAGTATTTTTTTAAAGGAGTAGTTATTCTTATAGGGGGTTTATTTATTATTGTTATTTTTCGTGTATCTTTATTTATTTATGTTATTTTTCGCATATTTTAGTTATTTTTGCTATACATTTTCGTATTTTTAATTATTTTTGTTATTTTTTGCAGATGTGAAATATTTTTGAGTTTTTTCGTATTTTCGTATTGCTATTTATTTTAGTCATTTTTGTTACCTTTTAGTATATTTTTATGTATTTATTTTTCGTATTTTTATTTGTATTTGTTATTTTCGCACCTTTTTATTTATTATTGTTATTTTTGTTAAACTTATCGTTAACATATCATTTTTTTATTTTTATTTTTTTGTTATTTCTCGCCTATTTTTAATTATTTTTGTTATATTTTTATTTAATAAGTATATTTTTGTCGTATTTCTATTCATTTTTATTATTTTTCGCATATTGTAATAATTTTTGCTATCTTTCGCATTTTTATTTCTTTTTGTTATTTTTCGTACATTTTTATTTATTGTTATTTTTATTTATTTTTGTTATATTTCGTAAATTTCAATTATTTTTGGTATTTTTGTTATTCTTCGCATATTTGACATATTTTTGTTTACTTTGTTATTTTTATCTTTTTATGTCATTTTTTGTATATTTCTATGTATATGTAACAAAAATATATTTTTGTTATTTTTCGCATATTTTATTTACTTTTTGTATATTTTATTTATCTTTCCTATATTTTTATTTTTTTATTATTTGTTGTACTTTTATTTATTATTGTTAATTTTCGCGATTTTATTTATTACTGTTATAATTGTTATATTTGTTTTTTATTATTGATATTTTGATAATAAATCGCGTTTATCTCCCCTATTGATCTTTGAATATATAATCTTTTGTTTTGGATTATTTTTAAAATTCATTTTCGGAGATTTAAATATATTTGTTTCAATTAAATAGGAAATATTTTATTTGTTTTATGTGTAAATCAAATTTTTATCAAAATATATGTATTTGTGTTTATATTAGGTCAAAAAAATTTTTTATTTTATTTACAGTTTTTTTTGGTATTCATAATTCTCGACTTATAAAATTATGTAAATAATTTATAAATTTTAATTTTATTAACAGAAATTGCAATTATTTTCCTTCAAATTTATGGATTATGATGGATAAGTGATTATTTTTACGTTATTTTACGTTATTTAAGTGAAGAAAGATGAAAGGTTCCAGTGTATCTTTCTTCACTATAGTGAAGAAAGATTAAAGGTCCTAATGTATCTTTCTTCAATATATATATAGTGAAGAAAGATTAAAGGTTCTACATAGTGAAGAAAGAGTAAAGTTTCAAGTGTATATCTATTAAGTATGAAGGAAGATAAAAGGTTCCAGTGTATCTTTCTTCACTATAGTGAAGAAAGCAACACGTATCTCTCTCTCTTCAATATAGTGAAGAAAGATTAAAGGTTCTAATAAATCTTTCTTCACTAAAGTGAAGAAAGAGTAAAGTTTCAAGTGTACATCTATTAAGTGAAGAAAGATAAAAAGTTTCAGTGTATCTTTCTTCACTATAGTGAAGAAAGATGAATAGGTTCCAGCATATCTTTCTTCATTGTACAGTGAAGAAAGATAAAAGGTTTCAGTGTATGTTTCTTCACTACATAGTGAAGAAAGATACAATTGAACTTTTAAAATTCATCACTGACATAATTGATCTTTAGAAAATATACAATTAACAATTGAAACAAAAACTTGAAGTATTCAAACTTATATTGAGGTTCAGAAGAAACTGTAGATAACTATATATATTATAGTTATCTATAATCTATAATATATCTAACTATATATTATAGTTATCTATATAGTTTCTTCTGAACCTCAATATAATAAGTTCCAGATATCTTTTCTTCAATATTAGTGAAAAAAATACACTTGAAACTTTACTCTTTCTTC